CAAAAAAAGTGGTATAAATAGTTACCATAACAATGGTAAAAACATCTACAAATATGGTAAATCACACACAAAAATGGTAATTTTTTTTATACCGAACAAAAATAGTTACTACAACAATGACAAAAACACCCACAACAGTGATAAAAACACCCACAACAATGGTAAAAACACTCACAAAAATAATAAACTTTTTGTTATAAAATGACCCCACAAAAATTATAAAAATACTCATTAAAATAATAAATTTTAAAAATACGGTACATAAATTTCTTTTATCGGTACCCTAGACAAGTCCCAATTAAAACAGTAACTTAATTGATTCGTAACTTTTCACACCTTATTAGTGTCTGTGGCTCTAGGGCTAGTCGGTTTATCATAACTTGGTGACCCATTGTTGATATAATCATCTAGGACAGGCCAAGCTTCCAACAGTTGTTTAGGTAGGTAGCCTAATCTGATAGTTTATAGCTTTGGAATAAAGTATAATGCCACTCTGATTTTATTAAATTATATTAATAATTTTAACAATGATTATCATAATTATTTATGGCTACCCATATATTTGTTTATAATATCACCTTATTCCCTTTTATTTTATTTTTTTGTATGAGATTATCTCTCTATCCTACTTAAATAGGTCACCAATTGAGTTGACCCTACACCAATGGGTCGAATAGAATTGTGCAAATATTCTTTTCAACCTAAACAACCACCACGCACACGCGCACACGCGCACATAGATTAGGACTCATTATCTTAAATATAACACAAATCCGATAAAATATATTGATTATGTTGATTAAGTCTTGATAATCTTAGATTTTATTGGGTCAGGACCAATTAATCAAGTAAGCCCAAATTAATTAAAAGGCATGTCAAATTCAGCTCGTGGATTCAACTCAGTCCAAAGTCCAAGAGATCCAAGAAGATTAATGCATGTGGAGAGCAATCATCGGAATACTTACTCTCGAAAATTAAGACAATTTCTAATTGTACTTACTTTTTTGTAGTTATTCTCCTCGAATAACTAGTGTCTTTATCCTCACGTCACCGCCTCAACTAAACTCTGTACTTATAAGTTGTAAACTCTTTCTACATGAGAGAGCATCTCTCTACACACTCACTCACATAGTTTTTTCTCTCTCTTAGCTATCATACCTCTCCTGGAGCTAACATTTGCGCTCTCTTTCTCACCTTACGTTATTAATAAAGATTCTTCGGCCACCGTTACCGTTTTCAGAAGTGGAATAAGTCATCCTAACCGAACCACTATACACACATGTGTTGACCTAATATTTACCTTTTTGTCATTAATTGCTTTATTAATTGTTTCATTAATTCCCTTACATTATTCGCTAGACTGTTGATTTTGCATAAGTCTATTTTATGCATCATCAAGTCTCAATATGAACTTAAAGTAATATGACCAGTAAAAATGAATAAACTTGGATTATGTTAATGTCCAACACAAATAATTTGAATTTCAAATGAGAAATCTTTTAATTAACATTAATTAAATAAATCATTTGCTTTTTTCATCCATGTTTTGACTAGGTATTTTATGATTTCATTCATAAGTTGAGGATTTTTAAGACCCAAATAGGCACAATTCCTCGGTTACAAAACATAGGTATTGTTTTTCAAAACAAAATTATTTTATACACAAACATGAAACAATATCGTTTTAAGAACAACGTTCTTTGTTATATATCGGAGGATCCGGACACTACCCAAGCATGATACCACAGACAAATGTGTGTGTGTGAGAGAGAGAATGAGAGAGTGAGTCATCTTTGAACCCCTAATTAGGTCAGAGGATTACTCACCAACCTCATAATTTGCTCATGTTAATCATCATTTCAGTTCCCTCTAAGCCTATGGAGTCGCATGGCTCAACTCGCTCACTGCCATTTTATTCTGGGCTAGGCTAGTATTTATTCCATGCGATGTCAATGTACCAAAAAATAATACACAATTCCATCAAAACGTTCACTGGGCCCACCATATCCTAATGGACAGTTGATGGTTTAAGCCTTTAAGAAAGCTAAAAGTAGGTGAGCGTTATTGTTGTCAGATGAAGGGTCTTGATCAACTCTCTGTTGATGGTGTATTGATGAGGACAGTCTACGGGAAAAGTACTTTAGAAAATTTCTTCTTTTTTCCAATTTTGTGAGTTGTGATTATTATATTTTTTTCTTGGAAGCTAAGAATCATCCACACACTGTAGGGCACATGTGCATAAGGAGACGAACCAACCAATCACATGCAACTGGAATTATGATATGTAGTTCTTTTTCTTGCTTATTTGATACTTTACGTTTATACCCAACTTTTCATTTAATGAAAAAGCATAAAGTGTAATTTTTTTAATTTTTTTTTTTTTTTAATAAATGTTGCAAAATATTCAAATAGTATAAAATTTAAGCATTGTATTTCCACGATACCGTAGAAGGAGATGGAGAGAGATAAGTGGCCTAGGATAATTATTAAATTTAAATTCACTCATTAATTTTAACTTAGCTATAGATTTTCTATTTGCTCTTCTATAGATATGATATAGAGAGAAAAAAGAATTTTTTTATTTATTATTGAACAAGTAGTTTGATGGAAAAAATAAAACTCCCCATCTTGGAAATGAAAAAACATACTAAAAGAGGGTTAAAACATTGTATCATGTCTTTAATCTTTTTTCAAATAAAAAAAAGTATTAGTTGTGGAATTCATTAAACGGAAGAAAAAAAATGTCTATTTCATATTGATTAGCCCAACAATAATAACAATAGGTAATGTAAATTTTTCATTTTTAATTATGAAATGGACTTTTTTTCGAGTCAAATCATTTCAAATTATTCTAATATTTTATTACTTATTTGTTTGTCCAACGAAATTTTTTTTTGAATTTCTGGTCAAAAGAGATTTTTCAAACGAAAAAACTTTTAACGTTGCCTAATATCCTTTTCATTTCCAAATATTTTTACGAATATACTTTTTTGATATTTAAGTACGTTTTTTTGGAACTGCCATTTAAAAATGAAGAGGTTATTGATAATGTATTCTTTCCCAATTCTTTTATTTTTTGGAGAAAAAAAAGGTATAAATATTTCTTTATTTTTTAAAATTTCAATTTGTTCCACCATCTGCTTTTTTTTTTCTTTTTTTTTTTTGGCCAATTTAAAAAAGAGCAGTCCAGTGCAACACACTCCTACCGCTACAGGATTTAGAGAAGATCAAATATACACGATACTCAAATCCTACTATAAAAAGTTTATCATTCATATCACTGTAGTTTTCCTTTATTTTCCGAGATAGTATTAAAATAAAAAATTATAACCTATAATCAAAAATTTAAACAAATAAACTGTCCAGTGAGTTGTTTTGATTGGCTCCAAAGAAAAAAGACAAGAATACATCTGTCAATAAAATGCAACAAACATGGCCAAAAAAATAGTAATAATGTTCCAAGCTTGTATCTGTGTTTTTAAAATAGGCACATGTGAAAGGCCCTACTTCTTTTTAAAGATAGGGCCTTTCGCATTTTATACCCTAAAATATTTTAAATTTTTTATTTTATATCATTAAAGATTAATTTTTTTATATTGTATCATCAATATATCAAAAGTATTACAATTTAGTTCTTCTGTTAGTTTCTATTATTTTTTTTCATCAAAAGTCGGTTCATTAACACTGACGAAAAAACTAATGAAAAATTAATAGAAACGCTATATTGCAACACTTTTGATACACGAGAGTGTAATATAAAAAATTTAATTTTTAAAGGTATAAAATAAAAAATTTAAAATCTTTTAGGGTACAAAGTGCAATTAGCCTTCAAAGATATAAGTGTCTTTTGTATGCCAATAATTCTCTCCCCCCCCCCCCCCCAAAAAAAAAAAAAGAGGATACAAAATAAGAAAAAGAATTTTTAAAACACATTAAGAATTTGAAACATTTTGAAAATCCTCAATTATTACAGGAAAAAGAAACACTGAAAAACTTCTACAAAACAACTGTAAATGCTGATAAATTCACATCTTCGTTATATAAAGGTAGATTGTTGACAAAAAAAATATGATTTGTGTGAACAAAAGTTGCAAGAAAAATTAAAAAATGACCAACATTTAAAAAATCTACCATTTATTTTTATTTTTTCCATTTAAAATAGGGCATGTCACTATGAGTGGTTTCCTCATAATTATATATAACAATGCTTCACTATCAAGTTAGAAAGAGAGATACCAAATAAAAAAAATTTGTTAGGAGGAGAAAACTAGCATTAAATTACAAAGTATAATAATTAGCCTAATTCTCCTATGGAGTATAGTCTAAGCCACCCAACAAAGGCCCTCTTTGCATCACCACCAATACTGCAAAAAGCCAAACCTGTCAATGTGAAAGGTCTCAATTGCTATGATGTTGCATTTTACATTATTTGAAAAGTTTTGCAATGATGGTATCGCTTTAATATATCAAAATTTATAACTAAATAAAAATTAAATTTAACTTAGGGTTGAATCACGATTCAAAAGGCTTAATTGATACTTTATATGGTTAAGTAGTGACTTAAAATAAATTTGGATCAATTCTAAAATCGTAGAACTAATCCCAACTTTGAGGGTTGAGCCTAAAATATTAGGATTAGTCGCAAAAAATTTCATTCTATCGTAAGTTCACCAGATTGAATTTTACCATCGTCTTTTCTCTTCTTTGGTACCATAGTTTTACCCATGGAAAAATGCATTCTTTTCATGTCAACAAACATGAAAATTTGGAGATCACAAGACATAAACCTCCAGTAGTCCAAAGAGGCTCAATGATAAAAACAAAGCTCAAACAACTCCACCTCTGCTGAGTTTGTTAGATTCTAGTTGTTGGCCAATCCATTCATCCAATACACCAACTCTCCAAACCCCTCCAAACCACCATGAAGAGAGAGAATATCCTCCATCAAACAACATCTGAATAAGAGGAGGAAACATCAATGACTTCCACACAGCTACATTCGTATACAGCCCATCACCAAAACAGCTATTCTCCATCTGAGAAATTCCAAATGGAAGAGGACTACCCTTCAATTCCAATGGAGAGAACAAGGAAGATTATAAGAAGATCAATATACACTTTCCTTCAAAATTATAGCTACTACACCACCACTGCAGCCCTCCTCGCGCTCCCGTTCTCTGCCTCAATCCTCCTCTCTCAAGCTCTAGTCCCCTCATCATCTGTCCTACCACCAATTCACCACCGCCTTGCATCTCTTTTTCATGCTGCAGGGTTTCCTCCCTCATCAGAGTTCTTCACCATCCTCAGTCTCAAGCTCTCTCAAACCATCACTTCCTCCATTGTTGTCCTTCCTTTCACCCTCTCTCTCCTCCTAATTGCTAAGGCCTCCATAATCCAATCCTTCAGTCACCAAAAACAATCTGTCCAGACACCATTTTCTCAATTCATATCACTTTACAGTCACCTCCTCCACACCCAAGTTTGGAATTCATTTGTCATCCTCTCTGCAAATGCAACTTGCTTTGCAATCCTATTTTTCGCCTTCAATTTTCTTGATGGATTCGCCCTCTCATCGCCCACCTCCCTCCTCTTCCTCTCGGCCTCTGGAGCTGTTCTTTACTCCATCATCCTTGCCAATGCTCTCATTATCTGTAATATGGCATTGGTACTATCGGGGATCGAAAATTGTGGGGGTTATATTTCGATCCTCAAGGCTTGTGTTTTGATCCGGGGAAGAACTGCCACTGCATTATCATTAGCTCTGCCTGTCAATATGGCCCTGGCTGCAGTCGAAGCCTTGTTCCAATACCGGGTCGTGAGGGCTTATCATCATACCGATAATCTCACTACTTCTATGGCTTTCGAGGGGATGTTTATCGCTTACTTGTATTCCATCCTCATTGTTCTTGATACAGTTATTGGTTGTGTGTTCTTTCAGAGTTGTAAATCAGCTTCCAGTATAGATCAGGAGCGCAGAATCTCTTTTTGGATTGAAATTGAAGAGGGAAGTGCCAATTCTTATCAAAAGGCCAAGATTTTACAAGAGCTTCCATGAATTTTTTGTGATTATCAACAGGAAATATTCTATGGATATTCATTTCTTCATCAGAAAGAGGGTGAAATGAATTTAGAAAAATAAAAGGCAGTATGTGCAAATTTAGATAGTCTGTGAAGTGTGAAGTAATTTCAACAGAAGGCATAAAGGGAAGGGATAATGTAAGCTATTTAAGAAAAAGCCTGTTTCATTCCCTTGTTTTGTTTTTTCTATACACCTCCTTTTTCCTTGTAGATTGGCAACTTCTATACATTGTAAATGAACTTGAACTGTTTTTGCAATGATTTTTATGGTGGGATTGTTATGAAATGCAATGTTGAAACATAACAAGCATACGAAAACCAGAAATAATCATTATTTAGGCAAATATTTTCATTATTAAAGTTAAGTTTGAGTAAAACAATCTCAGTGCGATTTATATTCACTAGTACTCGGGTTGGGGTCTCAGGCACCAACCCGAATTAATGAATCTGGGGTTTATTTCGATTTAAACTTGAACTCAACCCGATTATTAAATTCAAGGATTAACCAATTTTTAAATGGGCTACAAAACCAATGCCAACTAATTCTGCCAGGCAAGCCAGGAAGAGAAGTTGAGGCAAGTTGAAGGAATTGGTAGTTGAACTATATATATATAAACCACCTTTTTGCTTTCTCATTAAGATATCCAGTTGAAGAGCTTAGGTTACTTGCTAATCCAATTCTATAATGTTTGATTTTGAATTCCAATCCCTTAACCTGTCCCTTTTAGCATTATGTCAAAGTGTAAATTACATTTACCTTTCTGTAGCCTTGTCCACACAACAACTAGACCCCTCAACACCCCCCCCCCCCCCCCAAAACACCTTTTCAAGTTGTTTTAAATGGGCTACTTATACATTCACCTTTACATCATGATATGACGTGGCATCATGTGATTGAATGTTGCACAATCAAATGAAATGTTTATAAGTAGACAATGTTTTGTATCTGGGGTATTATAGTAATTTGCTATTTTTGTTAGAAAGATGAAACCAATGTCATTGACAGATCATGTAATTGGATGTTGCAAAGCATGACCCCTTGCAATGCAAGCAAGAGGTTCAAATTTGAACATTTCTCATCCCACCAAGGGTCAACCCTTCTGTCATGCATTATGGTGGTTTAAACAGAATTGGATATTTGTGGTGAAGTTCAAGTTTGAAGAAGTAGTCTACACAAGCTTGCATGTCCTGTAGAAAAAAAAATCGAATGAAAAATTAATAAGTATATTTCCTATCTTGGGTATTATATAGTAATCTGCTTTTTTTGTTATGGACATAATTGATGGGAGACTGCAGTGTTATTCTTCATTCTTGATGGGGTTTAATTGTTATTTGGACAAAACTCAAGGGATTCAATGCCGTCTGGACTCTGGAGAGAGAGAGAGAGAAGTTCTTGGAACAAAAACTATCCATATCACCTGTAGAATTCCTTATATCGGCATTTATGCCCAACACACTTCCATGTTGGAGCCTTCCATGCCACAGCTATTGCATCAAATACAAAACAAAATTAGGGGTGTTAATTGAACCGAGCTGTCAAGCTTGAGTATGTTTCATACTTAGCTTGATTCTAATTGGAAGAGCTCAAGTTGAGCAAGACTCTTGAGTTTAAATTCTTACTCAAGTTCAGTTAGACAGAAACTAGAAAATATTTGTGACATCAGTCTCAATTTCTCGACAACAAGACCCTCAATATGGAGAACCTTAGGAAAATAGTTTGAGAGAAAGTGTATGTTTTGTGGAATCATTTGAGGTTATTCATCTTTCAAATAAGGGTTAGTTGACAATAAAGTCAGAATTGTTTATAGCGAAAAACCTGTTTGTGTCGATTCGAACCAAATTGAGTCAAACAATATGTTACTCGGATTCGACGCATTTACAATATGAGCACATCAAACTTATTAGATTTGATTATTTTTCAATTTAATACAAACCGAGATCAAGTTTATCGTTTAATCGCCCTATCCCGATGCTTTGAGTCTTCTCCGTGTATAATCATTTTTTGCCAATGTTGTAATATGAGAAATGCTATTTAGACCTTATTTAAGGATTTAATGATGTACAACCATTAAATTAGTTGTGGGCTCCATCTAACATCGGAACTCACAACTAATCCAATGGTTGTGATATCATGTTTGATACCAAATGGTACTAGACTAATATCAAAGTACCAAGAGACGTCATAGGTGTTCTTAGAAGAAACTATTAGTATATCAATTATTATAGTAAATTAGTGATGTTAACGATTGGTTTAATGGTCACCGTTTTCATGATTTGACTTTAATGTCGCTGGTTTAAACCTTACACTCAGCTTTACCTTGATTCAACACCTCTCAACTCCAATGTTGGCCTCTATCTCTATCTTTCAGACTCACACCATCCACTTAGGTCTAATAATAGTTCGGATTCTAATTGATCAAATATTGATTGGTATTTTGAGTGATAATTCACAAATACGATCCAAATTCAAATTTGTATATCATATTTCACAAATTGTGATTAGAAAATATCAATATGTGACTTGAATTACCAATGTAAATGGATGATGAAGTTGAGTGATCGTTTGATGAAACTAAGTTAAAATCCATAGGGTTTATTGCCCTTTGCAACGGAAAGATTTAAGAATTTTCTCTTTGTACCCTCAAAAGTTAGATATGTTATATTTTACCTTTAATGTACTAAAAGTGTTATAGTGTGACATTGTCGTTTGCTTCCGTTATTCATTCTATCAACATCAATGAGATGGTTCTTAAAAAAATGAGCAACGAAATCTAATGGCAATGTCACATTTTAGCAATTTTAATACATTGAGAGTGCAATGTGAAAATTTTAATTTTTGAGAGAGTAAAATAAAAATTTCTAAATATTTTAGGGTACAAAATACGGTTCTCCCAAGTGCATACCTAATTTACTAAAATTCAACATGATTGAGTTATTCGGATCAAATTTTTTATTTTTCTGAGATTTTGAAGTGGATTGAAAATATGAAATATGTTCGTCCAATACCCAAAACGAGTTTCTGATTAGAGTTTTTTTTAGTCAAATTCCAATTTGAGTGGGTTGAAATTGAATCCAAATCCGAATCATTGACAGCCTATTTCCATGTAGTATAACCGTATAGGATATGCAAGTTCTTTATCATCATGGCATGTCCCATTAAATTAACATACATGATGTTACCCTCTTTTTCGCCCTGCTTTCTTCAATGCGATATGCCTCTTTACTAATACAAGAAATATCATATTGGTGATTAGCTCTTAACGTGTACCAAATTGAAACCAGATCTCCAATTATAAGCGAAAGTTTTGTGCATGGGTTCGAAAGGAGAAAAAATTGTCCACAAACTAAATTATCAAAAAGTAAAAAACAAACACGGTGTATAATATATTAATAATCTAGGGTGTACCTGTGCAATATATGTTTTTTTTAGTATAGTTAAAATATAAGTGAGTAGTTAAAATATTTATCGTTATTAAAATATTTACGATTTATCTTATTTATCATTATTAATAAGATAAACCGTTAGATCCAATGTTTCGTTTGGCAAGAATGATAAAAAGTAAGAGGGATGGAAAGTAGGAAATATACATTTTTTATTCTCTAAAGAAGGAAAGTATGAATGATACACTTTCATTCTATTGTGTTTGGTAGGATGGATAAAAAATAAAAATAATTATTATTATTTTTTTGTGCTCGGTAAGATGAAAAAATATTTTTTAATTATTTATTTTTTAATTTTTTTTCAAAAAAATATAAGTACATATTTTATTATTTGTTTTTATATATAAAATTAATATATACATAATATATGTATATATCAAAGAATATATAGACAAATAAGATGTATTTCAATACAAATAATTAACTTTTTATCCACTTTCCTTATAATTTTGGAAAGATTAATTTTTGTGAGTTGAAAAATTAATTCATCTACTTTTTCATCCTTCCTATTTTCCTTCCTTACCAAACATGATGTTTTATTTATCCCTCCAACTTTTCATTCTTCCATTTTTCCATCGTACCAAACGGAGTAGTAGAGTAGCTTTTGACCAGAAGAGTGTTCCCATAAGATGTATATGCAACTCAATGAAAGAAACAGCATAACTCATGTCTTGTACCACCTATTTGGGATCGACCATGCAAATCATATATTGTTGTTGTGCTCTATTAAAAGAAAATGGTTCATGTATCCATCTAGTTTTCCGCTTGCTCTCAAACACCTAACAGAACCCTCCTCTTTCATCCCAACTTGATTCGAGCTGTGTAATAAATAGACAATAAACACAACATTAGATGCAAATGAATGCAAAAGCTATATGCATTCATAATTTGTACATACACGAGTGTTTATACATAAATACACATGTATTCTATGCCTCTTATTTCCTGTTCACCTGGAATATAATTACTACTTAAATCCAGGTGGTCATTGATAATCCAAAAGGGGTTTTGATTGAAACTGTAAGTCAGCAAGTAGAAAATACACAACAGTGTTAATTTCTCTACCGATCAAGAGAGAACAACTGGCTTTTGATAAAAGCCACAAACCAAAAAGACAATAAATGCAAACAGTAGAGAACAAGAGAAACAGAAATCAGCCTTTTCCATTAGATAAATAAGAATAACTAAAAGAATCAATGAAGAAACAAGAAGTTTCTAAACTTGCAGCCTATGCTCTTGTTACATTCGAATTGTACAAAGGGAGCCTATCTTCTACTTCATGTTCCTATTCTAGCTTTCTATACAACAAATTTTGTGGTGGGTTCCTGTAAAAATCTCTCTAGCAAAAAAGGAACCGACATCTATGTTACAAACAAAAGAATTAAACTATTTAAGTACAGGGTTAGAGCTTTGTACAGTTTGGTTTACTAATCTGGGCTTGCACTTTCCGATCCAACAAACATTTATTCTGGTGCCAGAAAAACTCATGACTGATGATAGTCGAAGCCACTCATACCATAATGAAGGCTGACTCATGAATACAAAGACTTATCTTCCAAAAAATGAGAATGAGATGGAAATGCCCAGATCCAATCTTCAGGAAATCAACCAACTCAGACAACAAAATGATCGTCAATATTTCAGAAATTCTGGTATGCCGGTGTACGTGATGGATCCATCGCCTGCAACCACCCAAGTGGTCGAGCAGTATCATGTCCTGCACATACAGCTGAGCTGTTCACAGGATTTTGAAGTCCGCAAACCTCAAGACTATCCCTTCCACTTAATTTTCTTGAATCCTCCTGAAAGCCATACCATTACACTGTTCCGGGAGCTCTGGCCAGTCTATGAAGCAGTGTCCTTGGGAGCCTTTCGGACACCAACACTGCAGTAGACCACATGGAAAAACCACAAATCCCAACGTATGGAATATTCCAAAAAATTGTCAGCTATTTTACACTTTTCTTTGTTAGATTAATTCCCTTTGCCTTCTCCATTTCAACCTCCTTCTGAGCTTTCTTCTTCTCCAACTCCGCCTGTTTACAATTCTCTTCGTGAGCTTTCCGGAACAACCTCACAAAGTTCAAGAGGGTTGCAATGACTGCATAAATAAATGCAACATTGGATATGGAAAGAGGAGTCAGCATTTCATAGGCTGAAATAAAAGGAAAAGGGTAACAATGAAATTAAAAAGCTTATATCTTCTTCAGACGTAAACACGAAATACAAATAAACAAGATAAGCAAGAGGAAAAGATGAAACACAGTAACAAAAAAAACTCAAACTGAGATGTTGCGCCCCATGATTTCAACAATTGTTAAAGAGCCCCTTGAGGTTTCTGGTCAACTTTCAGTCAATCCCACCATGTTAGTTGATCATACATTGAATAATCAAATTTGGCAGACATCACTAAATTTTTTCTCAATTCCTAAACTCCCTCTGTCCATTTTTTTTCTTCACCTGTTTTAAACCTAAAAGATAAAATCAACAAATAAATCTAAAAAAAAATTGAAACCCTTTGATCCTCGGCTACAGCCCCCCAGCCAGCCAACTCAACCCACCCCTGGTGGCAAACCCCACTCCCCCACTAGTTGAAACAATCAAAACTCTCCTAACCACACTTTCCCCCTTGAAAACCACAGCCACTGGAACTCAAACTCCATACCCAGGAAGCATCCACACCTTCTTTAGACTAGAGTATCGGTGTCAATGCCGGTGTCAGACATTATTAGGAGTTAGGACACACTTGGACTTGTGTCGGACATGCTAAAATGAAGGTTAGATTCTTTTATTATTATTATTTTTTCCTAGACACGTTTTGGACCGTTATGAACACGTGACTGACTTGCTGGGGACATACGACTGGCATGTTGGGAACAGGTTGAGGACACTTTTTTTATTTTTTTTTTTCTGAATTTCTTAGAACTTGTCAATTAGATTTGCAAATTAAGAAATTATTTTACAATAGAGATCAAAAAAGTAACACGAAAAGAATTATAATACATAAACGAACATAGACACACAACACGGATATAGACATAATTTTAGACACGACCACAAAATGAGGGCTATGAAACCAAACAAATAGAATAAACAATTTGTATGCAAAAAAAATTGATTAAATTTAAGATTACATGGGACTCTTTGAAATGGAATAGAAGTTAGGGTTACGAAATGAAGCTTTTTGAAGTTGAAATTCTAGCCATTATTGAATGTTACATCATGGCTGTCTATGATGTATTTGTATTGGTGTTTCGTTTTTATATTTTTGTTTTTCTAACTTCGTGATTTATTTGTTAGAATTGAGGAAATTTTGAATAAAATGAGTATTTGTTAACATATATTTATTTTTTCTTTTCATCAACAAATAAGTTTGTTGATTAGAGAGTAAAGTACAAATCATAGAGGGATGAGAATTCTAACAAGAAAAAAAAGCAACAAAAAACATAAAAGAAAAGTACAAATTACATGTCAACCGATTGGAGGAGCCTACCATGTTGAGGGTTTATTCCAGTTTGGGAGTTTGGTAGTGGCATAGAGGGGAAGCTGCACCGAATAAAGATCTCAGGGGGAGGGAGGCTTCAAGACAGGGTCATTTGAGCAAGGGGTTTGGGGCGTTTTGGAGGCACTGGGAAGGGGGTTCAGGAAAGTGAGGGGAAGAAGAGTGGGGGAGAATTTTTTGGTTATTGGCATTGATTATAGATAAGGGTAGGGGTTTCAATTTTCGACAAGACACGTTAACACAACACAAACCGACCACGAATTTAATGGGTTAGACAAGAATTTAAATGGGGAAGCGGGTAAAAGTGAGTCAACACGTTTTAACACAAAAAAAATCATGTCGGGTTCTTGTCAAAATTACCCGATTTTGACACGATTAACACATATTTTAAATAGGTTGACATGATTGGTACACGAACCGGACCAACCCGTTTAACCCGTTCTATAAAAGAAAAAAAAAAAACTTAACCCTAACTAAATATATTTTCATTTTCCAGTTGTCCCCGTACCTGAAGGTGTCTCTCTCTCTCTCTCTCTCTCTCTCTCTCTCTCTATTTAAAGGAGGACCGTGAGATTTTGTCTTGTGAGTCATTTGTCGTTGTTCGATCCTTTAGTCCGTCGTTCAAACTTCGTTCGTCGAGATCCAAACTTTGTTTGTCGAGATCCAAACTTTGTTGACGTGATTCAAGCTTCATTCCAGATCCAAGCCTCCAAACTTCGTTCCAACTTTCGTTCCAGAGATCCAACAACTTGATTTTTGTATTTTTCTAAATATTGTGGTGGGTTAAAGAAAGGCTGGAGGGGGACCAAATCTGTGTGATTTTTTTTTTATTTTGCTTATATCTGCACTATATGAGTGTTATATATTTTGCTTACATATTTTTTTTGGCATATTTGCTTACAAGTTTCGTTATTTGCAGTTTGCTATTGCGTTTGGGTTGAAACTTGAATGCATTTTATTAACTAATTTTAAGTACAAATTTTATTTGAAACTTTGGATGAATGGTGTATTTAAGGGTAATAAATAGGTGCGAAATAGGTTAAACATGACAGGTTATGTGTATTAACTGAAAATAACTTGTTTATTAAACGTGTTAAACAAATCGGGTTCGGGCAACCAGTTAAATGGTCAAGTTATGTTAGTATTTACACATCTCGACATGATTAATTAAACAACTCAGGTTCATGTTTGGAGATTTTTGACACAAACCCAAAACGAACTAGACACGAAATAACCCAACACGACATGTTTGACACCCCTAGATACAAGGTTAGTCTCTTTATTTATTTTTATCAAAGAATAAAAAGGTTATTTTATAATTTCCTCAATTTCGTTGGTTGAACTTTAGCTAACCTAGTGTATTCTTCCACAGAAAACACATTCACAAATATAAAGAGGTAAGTTTAAAACCACATAAAACACACTTGAAACCTCCATTGGCAAGTCAGCAATCTGACTCAATAGCTAACAACTAATTAAATTAACAAACTTCCACTAGGCTTATGTAATCCCATATGGTTTTGACCTTGAAAAAGTTTCTGGCAACATGAGATATGCACATACCCTCTGGATGTAAGGGGTGATACTCAACTTTTTGAAGATAATATAAAATGAGAAGACAAGATTATGCAATTTGATGAGATCACCCAAACCAACTTTCAAATTATAGTTTATCTCTCAAATATTTGCCTATATTCATAAGATCGGGTCATCACCTTATATATAGGGTCTAATTCCACTATATTTAGTACCAAGAATTTATGAGAACATGCAGTCTGTTAGGTTTTGGTCCGCGGGTGTAGGTCTTGTAAACCAAACCACGTAAATTCTTTGTGCTCAACCTTGATCAATTTCTTGTGTTCATCCTTGATAAATTTCTTTTTATATTTAATTTTATCACGGTATCAAAGCAGGTCAATCAAACCTTGCTTAATCTAGCTTCTATTTAAGTATTTGCACAACGTTCATATCGCACTTAAGTTTCTAGTGTTTGCACGATGGATCATTTTGTGCACACTTGGGTTGGTTGTTATTAGCTTCGCCCGTTTGAGAAGAAGTTGTTATCCACTTCATTCAAGTTGTTCTTGGGGCAATTTTGGGTGCTTCACCCATTTCAATTCAGGTAGTTGTTATCAGTCCCACCAATTCCAATAAGAGGTTATGATCGGTTAATCATTCGATCTTCACATTCAAGTTAAGACACTTCACTTCAACATTTTCGTATCCAACTTGAGGGGGAATGTTAAAGATGATATCAAATGAGAAAATAAGATCATGTAATTAGATGGGATTACCCAAATCAACTTTCAAATTATAGTTTATCTCTCAAATTCTTGTCGATTTCATGAGATTTGATTGTATCTTCACCATATATAGGGTCTAACTCCACCGTATTATGTACGAAGAATTAATGAAAACCTGTAGCCTATTAGGCTTTGGTCCACAGATGTAGGTCTTATTAGACTGAACCATGTAACTTCTTCTGTGTTCTTGATCAATTTTTTTTCACATTTAATTTTATCACAACTCAAAAATGAACTTAACAAAACATTGTCTCAACTATTTGTGGTCAGCTATATGAATCATCGTTTAATATTTGTGTTTGGAACATATTTTCTGTAAAATAATAGGCTATCATATTTTTTTTTGTTGTCTTATATATATTAATTGCAATCTACCATCAACAAGCATCATATCACTCGTCTTTGCCAAAAAAACAATAGGTTTTCTATAAATATGTCCAAATCACCTCAATCAATGTGCTCTTAATTATCTTCTAGAAAGTGCTACTTCAATTTTTCAAATATATATTCCATTATAATTCTTTCCTTTCTAGTATTACTACACATTTCTCTTCACATTCTCAATTTTTGCAAAATACCAATAATGATTAGTATTGTTACTATCATCCTTCTTCTTGTTAGTAATTTTTTTTAAAGTATCTTTCTGTAATTACTCCATCAATGGTGATTACTGGCTATTTTTTTTTTCTTTTTCATAAGAAACACAAGCAATTTTATTAATAAAATAAAATAAGTGGCATAAAAAAGAAACAAAGGTGGACAAGGTGTCCAAACATGGTGTTAAACTCACCATGAGTGACAATTGACAGCCCATGTACAAACTTGCACTTTCAAAGGCACCTTTGCTATATTACTAAGCAAAGAAAGGAGAGAGATCTAAAGTTTCCCTATCATTAAGGTTCCTATGAAAACCAAAGTTCTAAGACATGGGATAATTATAAGATGTAATCATTGAAGCACTGCGAGCACTATGATAAGAAAGATTATGGAGTTGAGGATATGAGCAAGTTAAACATGACTCCCCAATCTAGCAATCCTCTCAAAAATGAATTTTGTCTCCTTACCCACAACAAATTTAACACTTCGAAAAGAGTAAGGTAATCCTAAAGAAATGAATTTCCAAGAGTTTTGGAAACTACCCCTTTCAAACTCATTAGCATCCCAATCATTGACCTACAAGCCATCTTTGCTTCTCATAACCAAATGTCACAATAAATTTTCCTCCAACGAAAACGTACAAAGTCATTTTCCCAACCAATGCTCTATTTCTAGCCTTCAAATTATCCACCATCTTCACCTTTAGTTCTAGGCCAGTGGCTAAAATAACCTGAGGTGCCTCGATGAGATTCATTTGTTTAAGGGAATGACATTTCAGAAGCTTAGAATTCCAGCCATCTATATAAGCAGATACTATAGTTGATGTGGCATTTGAGATATGACGACACAGTTGCAGAACACAATATATGCTTTCATGAAACACGCACAACTGCACATGGTTTTGGACAATAATACCACAACTGCCCTTACTATGTCTAGAACTATAATAGAAAGGAACATTATACTCATGACTATCTTTCCCAAACTCATGCACCCATCTTTTATAGCATTTACATATTATTGGACTCATAATGACAAGAGGTTATTCAATTCTTTCTCTATGTCCAAGGAAAAAAACTTTTGTTTTTTTCTTTTGGACTGATTATTCAATTCTACTCATAGAAATTAAATCAATCTTCATCTGCTTTTATCAGTAAGCATACAACGGTCTGATTCAGGCAATATAAAGTTGGCCAACAATAAGTAGTCAAGCTATTATTCATTCGTGTGGTTATGTGCATAGATGGACATTTATATCACAGCATAAATTATCCATATATGCACTCATATCAAAAGTGGCCTATACTTTCAATCGAGTAAAATGTCACCATATGATCTTTTCCCACGTAACTCAATTTAATTCTCTGCAAATGGAACCACAACCTTTCACGACAAGAATCCATCAAAATTCTGATCAATGAATGCTGGAATTCATCAAATATATAACATCATTCAAACCCCTAAGTTTCCGTCTTTTTTGCTGATATTTTCTTGTAATTCATTTCATCGAAACCACTCAGAACATTTTTTCCCACTTTTGATTTCTAGGATTTCACAGATTGTATCAATGGTCCATTCTTCTTCTTTATCTTCTCTCTCTCTCTCTCTCTTTCAAATTCGTATCCAACTTCCCATTTTTAATACCAAATCTTCTTGGTTATTTTGTCCATGACATTGGCTCAATTACTTTCACTGATTGCATCATCAGCCAAGATCTCTCTCTCTCTCTCTCTCTCTCTCTCTCATTCATCTATAACAGAAATGCGAAGAAAACAAGATCAAAATGAAGGGATTGGAACATTTTTTTTCCAGAGTGAAACGGATGGCTGTTTAATTGGTGATAAGGGTATTATGCCTCCACATTCACCCTGTCAGGAGAGAGTTGTCCATACGTAATCAAAATGGGGAAAAAAAACCTTGAATGAGTGTTTTGTTTAGCACATAAGGGATTTAATGGAATCTGCCCCGGCCCGCCTGGGCAGCCTGCCCCGCATGATATAACCACGAATAAAATGTGCTATGCAAGAATGAAGGACAACTGCCAATTGAAGGTGCACCTCGTAAATCCCAATTTCCGTGTCTACTAAGTTGGTGTAAGTTCTTGACTCTGTACCATCCGGCCCAGATTCATGTCTGTCATAAGTCTTGGACAGATCGACTCTGATATTCAAATGGGTGGGACGCGAGGAACCTGTCGTAAACCCACCCCATGGCCAGTTCCCATATCTAGTAAACATGCCGGCCAAAAAATTGGAAGCATTAATAGCTCTTAAAGCGCTATTTCTTAACCTTGCTTTTGCATAGCGGAGTGCAGAAAAATGCAAAAACAGTATCATCCAATGTGTTACCTTGCTCAAATGGGCACCGAGTAGGGTCCTCACCAAAATATAGTGCCAATGCATCCGCATTTCTACCCTGCCCGCCAAAAGAAATGTCAAAAATATTGCAATCATCCGGAAGGTAAAATAAAAATGTGATTTCATGAAAAAAAATATATACAAAGGGATAGGAAATTCATGGCATATTACCACCACAGAATACAGATTTGTCACAGAGGCCACCTCTGTCTCAGCAACACCAATAAATTCCTTCAAGGTCTGAAGAGGGGAAAAAAAAAACAAGTCTTGGTGCAGGGATTCTTCATATCATAGAACATACAAAGTAAACTTTCAAATTAGGTTCAGGATGGACTTTTAGGTTCCACATTCTAAAGAGTGTCTTTCGACAAATTAAATCCATCAGCAGATTGCAAAAAACAATGACAAATATCTTGGGTATTATAGAATGAAATATTTATAAAAAGTCCCTATACCTTAAGGAAAATTTCAGATACAGGGCCGTCACTTTCAGATGCAACCATTTCCTGCTTCACCTTTTCTAGCCCCTTGATGATAGCTTGCATTTCTTCTGCTAAAGATTTCAATTGTATCTGCAAGGAAGACCCCATTTCAAGTTCTTTTCTGATTACATTATCTTATATAAGGATTGATTGAGATGCAGTAAAACCTTTGATGCAGATTCCAGGCTAACAAGGTCTTCATGAAAGTCTAAAAGCGCTGGAGATTTGGAGGCAAGCACCTGGGCCACATTAAAATACTGAGACAAAACAATAAAAAGACTTTTGTACAAAAAATACTCACCAACTACAAACTAATAAACAAGAAAGGTAGACATGCTCCCTGCTGCCTCGAGGGGTTGGGAAGGAGAGAGGGGGGGGGGGGGTGCTGCACACCAGCAAAATCATGCACAACCTATGAAACACGGATATGGATACGGGTACGATATGATACAGATATGGCGATACGACAAAATCTAAAAAAGTAGGATACAGGTACGGCCAGGATACGACTATAATAAAATATTTTTATTATTTTCAACCAATTTAACACTTATATATTTTGGTAGTACTTTAACATATAATAAGAAAAATTAGTAATTCTTTTTAGTTTCTAGAAAATATATATCATGTCGCTGTGGTATATTCACAAAGTGAAGTGACTAATTAAAGGAATCAAAGCTAATATTTACCTAGTAATTAGAAGTAATTTTAGTTAAGATTATAATGTAATAGTTTTACTATATGGTCTTTCAACATGTAATTGTAGATAATACTTAAAAAAATATTCATGTGCCTTTGAAATAATATGAAATTTTTTTTAATGTATTGTATGGTATGTGAATTCGAAAAAAGATGTTAAAAGTTCAACTAAAAAATTATATATATTGCTCTACTATAAAAGTATCCGTGAAATATCCTAATATTTAATTATTATTGGATACGTAGAAGGTGTATTTGATACGTATCCTCAAGTATCGTATCCGATACGGATACGTCAATCTCAACGAAGTATCCATGCTTCATAGTGCACAACCCATTCTTCAATAAATAAACATACGCGCAATAATCAACTGATTATTAAACCGTATCCTATGAAGCACAGATACGGATACGGTGATACGACAAAACTTAAAAAAAAGATATGAGTAAGACTAGAATACGTCCACAAAATATATTTTTTAAAAATTTTATTATTATATTTAATATAATAATTATGATTTATAAAGTGAATCACACATCTATCAAAGATATATAATAATAATTAATCATTCTATCATTTAAAAATCATACATTCATAAATTTTTTTGTTTATTTTTCAAATAAGGGTTCAAACATATTTGTTTTGGTACTCCTATTCTTTTTAAAAAATTCAAGTAATACCTCGTCGTATCCCCGACGTATTCTTTGTGTATCCTGACGTATCCCGGCGTATTCTGAAGTATCTGAAATTCAAATTTATTTTTTTTAATTATAGGATACTTTTCAACCGTATCCGATATGTATCTGACCGTATCGATCGCGTATCCATATCTGAAAAATATTCGATACCGATACTTTGACCCTTTTAAAGTATCTGTGCTTCATAGACCGTATCCAAAACCAGTATGCAAGTAAAATATATTAGACATAAGTTCCGTTACACCATCCACACTGAATTTAGTTCAATATGCATCCCAAAAAACCCCCAATAAAACATCAGTGTCATAACGCAAGCACCATACTCCACTACAAAGACAAACCCCTGTCACCTTTAGATTTATATTCTACTCACTAAGGCTTTATTTATCTGATAAGGCGCAAATCTCTCTAACTTACAAAGTAAACATCTGTCACTAAAACAAATGCCAAAATCAATCATGGTTCAAGGTTGCAATATCAGCTATCAACTCAAAAGGCATGATACACATTGGTTACGGCACAGTATTGGCCAATACACTAATAATGTTATATAGAAATCCCAAAAAATTCTGAATAAATCATGAAAATTTATTAAAAAATATAAATAATAACATTCATATATCATATGTCCAAAAAATATCATCTAACATTAAAATAAAGTGAAATTAAATTATAAGGGCACCATCAATAATATAATTCATTATCAGTGTTCAATTTAAGCTTTTGTAAGAACGTAAAATTTTATTATAAACATTATATTTCCAATACCTATAAGACAGTCTCCTGTTATATACATTATTGTATTTATATTATACATTACCCAATAAGACCAAAATCCCACCACTACTCTCATATGGTCAAAGATATAACATATTATATTGATATAATTATAACTCTTTTTTGTGAGGTATAAGTTTAATGTGACTTTGTGAAGGCCGGACATTAAGACGTGATAAAAAAACACACACACATAAGCGGGGTTAACTTCGATTGGGAACGGAGACAAAACTTTTGATCAAGTCAGAGGCTTGTGCTGGTGCCTAGGAAGAAGGGATGAGGTTTGGGCCACAACTACCTACACAAAGGAAGAAGAAGAAGAAGGGCTTTGTGTATTCAACCTAACAGGTTTTTCTTGGAAATTCTTTCAATTCCTTCTTTTGTTTTTGTAATTGCAAGAAGGGTGATCTAGGGTTAATAATTGATTCTTTGTTATTGATTTAGGGTTGAAATTGATGGGTCTCTGATTTTTTTATTTAGTTCTTATCAATTACTGGTTCATTTGACTTTTTCAGTCACAAAACAAACTGAATGCATGAATATGAAAGTCGATCTCGTTCCTTTTCTTCTACCTTTTTCTTTTTTTTTAAAGGATTTTTTTGTAGCTTGTCTAGATTTTGATCCAATCCTGACTTGGTCTAAATTAGTCCGAGTCTAGCAATTCGACTCCGAGTGGGGCTGATACTTTCAAGTCGTAACCAAGTCAAGCTCGAGTTGATTGTTTCACGCTATAGATGTGTAACATGTGCCAGTATCGGTTCGGAGGTCGCCGAGTCGTATCGAACTCAACCCATACTTTGAACCAAGAAATCAATTCTAGAAAGTAGATGACGGTCAAGAGCAAAAGTTTTGAAAAGCTAATTTTTTTTGCATAAAGTAAAGACTAAAAATTTTATAGTGTAGGATAACTTCAAATTTTTTTTTTGTTTTTCGATTTTGGCACCCGAGGAGAAGTGTAGAGTGCATGTGAGTAGAGCTATTAAAATCCGACATAACACGATTAACTAACACGAATTAAACGGGTTTGGATGATAAACGAATTACCACGCCAAATACGTTTAATAAACGGGTCGTGTTTGAGTGAAACATTTTAAATCGCTTATCACACATGTTTATCCGTTTAAATAAAATTAATATAATAATAAATTAATAATTATCTTAAAAAATTAGCAAGAAAAAAATAAGTAAATAAATCAATAAAAAAAAATAAAGTAGTAGTTCAAAGACAAAGGAGAAAAGATGGGGAGCACTTCAAAAACAAAGGCAAACCAATGTTTTTTGTTTTTGTCCCACATTAAAAAATGAGGGAAGATGGGGAGGGCTGAATAGCCTATAAAAAACAATAGCCTCTTGCTTATTTTTTTTAAGCCTTCAAGTCTTATTTTTATGAGATTTGACTAAAAATTTCTCTATTTTGAGGTAAGTGCAATTGACAGTAAAAAAAAAATAAAGTACTAAAATTTGTTGATATAATTTTTTTAAAATTAAACGGGTTAAACGAGTCGTGTCGTATTACCCGTTTATTAAACAAGTCGTGTTCGTGTTGAGATTGTTTACCCGTTTATTAAACGTGCCGTGTATGGGTTTATACATTTTTCACCCGTCACCTGTTTAACTCGACACGTAACCGTTTAACCAAATACGTTTGACACCCCTACAAGTTAGCGCTACAAGGAAATATGAGGGGAAAACGATGATAGCAACAATATTAGGAGAATGCATCTAGTAAAAAAAGAGTAGATTTCTCAACATTTTTTCCAAGTAAAACTTTGGTATTCATGCTTTTACTAGATCATTCCCAATTTTAAATCAATCTTCATCAAACGATCAAGCAACAGGTACTAAGGAAATATTTTGTAATGGTGCATACCAGAAGAGAGAGACAATGTAAGCAAACCTTACAGAGAAGGCAACTTTCAAGTGGATAAATATACTTGGACAAGACGAAAGAAATTCATTGCCCGTGATTTATCAAAAATTATATTTGTGTGACAAACATGTATCCATACCTAATATCAATACTCTTTGAAAAGTTAGGTCTGCAACATGAATCAAAAATTTTAAAATAAATCCCCGACAAATGTGTATCCAACACCTTGGTGACAATTCAAGACCCATTTCGACAAGGATTCAACATTAGTCGGTACATTTTGTCCTAAAATATTCCCCGTAAGAGAAATATGAGAAGGTTTAGAAATAAATATACGTGGACTAGCGAAGAGAACAAATAGTGAGATGTTGGACTTGATTTGATTTTGTCACGTGCATTTTCTGAACCTTTCAATAGCTCATAAGAATATATATTTTGAATTTGTTATGGAGACAGATTTCACATTTACTTTTCAGCTCAATGCTTTAATTCCACTCTAGTGCTTTTTCATGTGTGGAAGTATATAGGCTTAAAAATATGCAATTATTAAGCTTATCTTCGCTCATTCATGACTTTCGCTTCATGTTTCCAAGGGCTTTTTTATGTCTATCCAAATTTTTGCTACCTCCATTGCATTTCCCAGAGTTTCCAAAATGTTTCCATTTCCAACCCAACTAATCTAAACCAATATTACAGCCTTGCCCAAAATACTTTAGTTGCATCGCGATCATTTTAACAATCATTCTTTTTGTTTCAGTCTTCCAGACAAAGCAACATAAAGCAGTCAATCATGACTTTAAAAAGAAAGTCAATATATCTTTTGGCAATCCAATCAGAACGGTTCACGGTTTTATCAATATGTTCATTTAGCAGGGATAAATGTTTCTATTTCTATAGATTGCTGCATCTACCACAAGTGAAATATATATCATATTGCTAACCTGGATGATTTAAACTGATAGCAAGAAAGGTTAGAAAGATACCTTGCAAAGATAATGCATGAGTGTCATCTTGCTATTGGAAGCACGTGTATCTGTAAGTTTTAAAAGACTGTCCAACTTGAATCCAATTGCTGAACCTGTAAAATTCAAACGAACATATTATCTATGCCACATCAAATCACTTCTGGATGAAAACAACTCAGGAAGTTCAGAACCCATTAACAAATCATTTATTCTTTTCTTATGAACTCAAAGTTCTAAATAATCTTCTTGATCTTCAATGAGAAACTGAACTTTGGATAAACTCGTGAACTAGAATGGCATGTCAAAACAGAGATCAGATACCTAGTCAGAGCAAGGCAAAATAAAACCTTTCAACTTGCCAGCACCTGATAAATAAAACTTAATGAGGTCCTTACCCCTTGCAGTTCCTTGGTTCAACGTATTCCCCAAATATAGGATTTTCTTCATGATCTCTTTCAATTTCAGGGAATTCCGAACCTATTAAATCAGCAAAAAATTTCAGGTGGTCAAAAAAAAAAAGAGAAAGGAACAGCACAGGGGAGTTTCATCATCATTAGTGATGTACCTCTTCATATGCAGAGTTTACCATGTTTAAACTCCTTTTAAAATCTTTAGTCTGGGATAGAGTTAAAAGAATTAGACAAGAAACAATTTGGAAATCCAAAAAAGTACCAAAGTCACAAAAAATTAAAAATCACCAAACCTGAGTGTTGAACTGAATCTTGAATAAAAAAACCCTTAATTTTGATTCAACACGTGGCACCTTCATCAGCTCCAAAAAGAACTAAAAGATAAATAGGTAGAGATTAAGAACAGGCAATAATCTTAGAAAGTTAAAAGAAGAATAAGCAATAAGCATAGTTACATTAAACATCAAAGTCGTTTAGCAAGAAATGATTAATAAGCTTCATGAACAGTTATCATCGGTTAGTTACATAAAATCAAAGTTGTAATAAAAATATAACAAATTCTACTTACTAGGGATGTAAACAGCTCTATAAAAATTCGATTCTGACCTACGTCTGTCTTGTTCCGAATCCTAGTATGATTCTGCTTTCAATCACCAAACCACTAGAGTTTTGATCTGAGATGTCCAATTATAATCAGATCAAACTTGAATATATGCAGATTCTATAGTATGTGCGATCCAATTATACGTACAAACATCATATATACTAGTTTGATTTTAAGGGGGATAATGTAATTATTTGCCAAGATTCCAGGTGGTACTATATTAATTTAGACATGAAAAACCTAAATTTCAAATGTTGTCTCAATTCCTTTCATTTTAAACATTCGTACATTTTGTCACATTCCAAGTCAATTAGTATTTCGTAGGACCATCGGGTTTAATTCTCAAACCCAGATTTCAGAATATGATGTATAGTTAAATACACCATGTCCGACCCATTGATAGCCAAATGTCAACCAACTAATCTCTACCAGGTAAATATGACAACTTCCACTACGTCACCCCAATCTACAAAGGCCATAACTTCAGAAAGATTAGGCCTAATCTGTCCGTATTCTTCGTCTTTAGCATTCAACTTCCCCTTTCAATGCCTTTGACTTCCCCTAATAAGACTCCCATGGTCTTCATATCATCTAAACATACCCAAAGCTCTCGTTCGACCCTACATGATATAACCTGTGGAGCTATGCCTAATTTCTTGTGCACCCGTCATACGATTTGTTAGTCCTAGCCCTAGGCAACAACTTGCGTGAATTGAACAACCTAGAAAGAGCTCTCCTTTATGGAAGCGGGTATTAAAATGAACTTTGATTAGAAGTGGTGTCTTCCCAAAAAATCGGAACAAAATGACTTATGTTACTGGATCCAAGGATAATGGGAATATACACATCTGCACATATTCGCCAGTTACGCAACTCACTTTTTCATGCTAAGAATGTAAGGTGATATGAGGAAGGTAGGCAATTTTATTTCCAGAGATTAAAGTTGTATTAGTCAGCAGGCAGGTAAGAAAAAGGAGTTCATAGCGATAAGTTTTGAAAATCAGTAAAAAAAAAGATACTAGCTTTGTTGACAGAATCATACGGACTGTAATCAAAGCAAATAATGTAAAAAGTAGACCGAACCTGCCATGCAATATAGGATAAGGATCAAAATTTTCTTTAGACCGTGTCAGGGAAACCTGCTACATATTTCACTGGAACTGCTAATGAACAGTCAATGTCAATAAAGCAGGTTGTCTTGGGAAGAAAAATATCATGAGATGGCACCAAAGGTGAATATCAAATCAATATTGAAGAAAGAAAAAGCAGATATTCCTATGGCATCCTCTAGCCTGGCAGTCCAGTCCTAGGAACCTCAGCGCGAAGTTCAAAAAAATGTACAAACCAAGACCCTTTGGAAGGTTGACTTCAAAATAGTGTTACCTATACAACTTTGAAATGTCATTGGAAGACCGACCTTTTAACACATTCTGTGGAGCAAGCTCTGACTTCTCTCTAGCTTCTCTCACTAAAAAAAAAGCGTTTTCGGAGAAGAAGGAAGCCAGAGGCCTCAACGTACTCTACACTGAAGTCTGGTTTCAACAAGAATGGAAGAGGACCCACGTGATATGCAAAAACTTTCCAAAGAAGAGGAGGATCATCTGGAAAGAAGTACCAAGAAGGTCAAAGAACACCATGGGAACCTGGAGGAAGAAGGTATGCTGGTTGATTCAAGCGCACCAACGACCCACGATATTCAAGAGCTGGTAATGCAGGAGATACCCCTTATAGAAGGGAAGAAACCACAAAGAAATTACAAGGAAGCACTCATGGATGATAACAATGCAATCTATTTTGATGTAGACAGCTACGAAGAGGAACCAGAGGAAATGGAGGAAGAGGACCAGGAAGTTTCGCAAGGAAAAAGAAAGACTCACACCGTGATTGATACATCGGATGAGATGTGCCCAAGTATTAGCCTTCCCCCCCCCCCCCCCCCCAAATTGCAACAGAGAATTAGAGGGTTTGCTGGTGAAACTTTTGGGGAGAAGCATTGGCTACAAAGTGCTGTGCATGAAAGTAAGGAATTTATGGAATCTCCAAGGAGATTTTGATGCTATCGACCTCGACAATGGATTCTTCTTGTTTAATTTTCATGTAAGGGATGACTGCCACAGAGTTTTCGCTGGTGGACCTTGGATTATCATGAACCACTACCTTACAGTCAGAAAATGGGAACCAGATTTCATACCATCAAGAGCAACGGAAATTGCTACAGCACTCTGGTTAAGGCTACCGGAGTTGCCTCTGGAATACTATGATGAGGCAATCCTGTTCCAAATTGCGAAAGCACTAGAGAAACCAATAAAAGTGGATATCAAAACTGCCACAGCGGAGAGAGGAAGATTCGCTAGGATATGTGTGGAGAGAGACCTTAATAAACCTCTCATCTCCCAATATAGGCTTGGGGGAAGGCTGTTCAAGATCGAATATGAGTGTATACACTCCATCTGCTTTGCCTGTGGAAGAGTTGGTCACAAAGAATACTACTGTCCCTACTCCATCGGAAAATAGACACACTCCACCGCCGACGACCATCGTGGCTCTTCATCAGACCCTCACATCACAGGGTCTGCTAGACCTGACACAGAAAAACGGTCGACTGCAAAGTCGAACGCTGTGACCCAACCCCAGGAAGAAGATAAGGAATTCGGGCCTTGGATGATAGCCGAACCCAGAAAAAGAAGAACCCAGCAGCTGAAAAAAAACAACGGCCCAAACAATGTAGTAAACCCAAATAAATATAAGGCTCTAGATACCATGCCATCGGACCTGAATGAGCTTCAAACCCAGACCTATGGCACCTACCAGACCAGATCACAACCCAGAGGGACAAATGAAAGAAATAATCCTAGTAGAGGCCCAAGAACAGGGCAAAGAAGGCATCGGGACCAAGGTCTACAAAAGGAAACAGCCCAATGGAGGGCCCAACCAAATGGGGTAACCCAGTCCGTTGCCTCCTTGGTTCCAGTGCAGAGATCAAATGACAAGCAGATGACTTCAGGAACAACGTCTGATCTAAAGGCTCAAACCGATTCGGGATTCCCCACAGAACCTGGATATGGAGTAAACCATTGCCCCCAAGATCTACCAGGCCTTTCGTCTCCACATGATACACTCACTCTGGATGTTCGAAGGAAAAACCAACTCTGCGGATGTCCCCTTGAACCCGAAACCCCCTGATTTAGACCCAACTATTCACACATACAATGGAGCTAATCCCCCTAAGATGTTTCAACGTAATCAACAATACCATGGATCTATTATTTAGAGCGAGAGAGGAAAGCAAGTGGTTAGCTACCACCAACTGGGAAATCAGGGAGATCCTATTGAAGATCGAACCTTGCTCAGTCAGATCGTCAACAGACAGATTAACAATAGTCTCCATGATGCCATCAGTCCCTCTCATGGAGAGGAGATCTCAAGTCAGGATGGTGCTGGGTTGTATGAGGATGTCTCCCTCCCCCCTCTTTTACTAAATCATTTGATGAAGATTTTAACATGGAATTGTAGAGGAACTGGTAATGAGAGATTTTGAAGGGCATTTAGTGATCTCTTTAGAGCACACAATCCAGATGTGGTGGCTCTAATGGAAACTAAGGTACACAGTTCCCAGATGGGAAATTTTTTTGAACAATTTGGTCTAACTATGTCAGAAAAAGTGGAACCACAAGGAAGGGCAGGAGGAATTTGGCTCCTATGGGATCCTTCAAATGTCACAGTCCGTATTTAGGAAGCCACGACCCAAGCCATACATGCTCATATAGTGCGTATTGACTTCAATGAGTGGCTGCAATCTGTGGTGTACGGAAGTCCAAACCCAACGAACAGAGAACTACTATGGGACAATCTCAGTAGTACTGGGGACAACTATAATCATTCATGGTTGGTGGCCGGTGACCTAAACGACTATGCTAGTCATTCAAAAAGGAGAGGCAGAAGCTCGGATCAAGGAAACAGGACCAGGAAATTCAATGATAGAATTAACAGATGCGGCTTAATTGATCTTGGATGCAGTAGACCAAGACTGACATGGAACAACAAACAGAAAGGTATGGCAAATACAAAAATTAGACTCGATCAAGCCCTGGCTAATGCAGAATGGACGCTTCAGTTCCCAGAAGGAGCAGTCCAAAATCTTCCAAGAACATACTCTGATCATTGCCCTCTCCTCATCCATACAAAAGGTATGTCTCCAAGCTCTTCTACTCCTAGACCTTTTAGACTTGAGGCTATGTGGTTCACTAAACCTGAGTTTAGAAATGTGGTGGTTAATTCTTGGAACCATGCCAACCAAGAGTTTACTCTGGCCACTAAAATATTTGAAAAGAATGCTTTAGAATGGAACAGAAGTTATTTTAGTAATATCTACCATAGGAAAAGAAATGTTTTGGCCAGACTTGAAGGCATCCAGAAAGCACAAGATAATTTTTATTCCCATAACCTTGAAAGATTGGAAGAACAACTCCAAGCTGAGTACCAATGTATCCTTGAGCAGGAGGAAACCCTCTGGTTTCAAAAATCTAGATCTAATTGGATAACTCTTGGAGATAGAAATACTAGATACTTCCATGTGTCTACTATTGTGAGAAGAAAAAGAAATAGACCACAATCTTTGAAAAATGACCAGGGACTATGGGTTACGGAGAAGAATGAAATTAAAGAGGTTATCCAGTATTTTTATAAGAATCTTTTTGCATCTGAAAATTATAATTTTATTGACTCTAACCAATATGGCCATCAAGCAAAACTTGACCAGATAGATAAACAAATCCTTGATGCCCTGATTAGGGATTTTGAAATTAAAAATGTTGTCTTTAACATTAAATCTTTTAAGTCTCCTGGTCCAGATGGACTCCAAGCTATCTTTTACCATAAGTACTGGGATGTCATTGGGAACTTGGTGTGTCAACAAACTAAACAAACTATAAGTAGAAGAAAGTGCCCAGAGGACATCATTAAAACATGGATCTCGCTTATCCCTAAGGTAGAGAACCCATCTTTATCTTCGCAGTTTAGACCAATTAGTTTGTGCAATGTTAGTTACAAAATTGTGTCTAAATTACTGGTTACAAGACTCAGACCGTTCCTGAACAAACTTATCTCTCCATTCCAAAGCAGCTTTATCCGTGGGAGACAAACCATTGATAATGTAATTGTGACCCAGGAAATTGTCCACTCACTAAAGAAAAGAAAATGTAAGAATGGGGGGATGGTAATTAAAATTGATCTTGAAAAAGCTTATGATAGAGTGAGTTGGCCCTTTCTCCACCAAACTTTGATTGATTTCAATTTTCCACAAGACTAGATTGACTTGATTATGAGTTGTGTGACAGGTACTTCCCTCTCCATCTTATGGAATGGCTCCCCATTGGAGACAATTAAGCCTAAAAGAGGACTGAGGCAGGGAGACCCACTGTCTCCATACTTATTCACCTTATGTATGGAGAAATTAGGGCAAATCATTCAGAACAAAGTTGAAAAAGGTTTATGGAAAGGCATTAAAGCCTCAAGGAAAGGTCCGGCTATTACTCATCTCCTCTTTGCTGATGATATTATCCTCTTCTCTAGGGCCTCTGAAAGGGATTGTGACATGGTTAAAGAGGTACTGGATAATTTATGCTCTATCACAGGTCAAAAAGTAAGCATGTCCAAATCCAAAGCCTACTTTTCCCCTAATATTAGTAGGAGTCATGCTTTGCACCTAGGGAGAAAAAGGGGTATCACATGCACCGATGACCTAGGGAAGTATTTAGGTATCCCCATCATTCATAAGAGAGTAAGTAAGGAACATTATAACTCAGTGATCGAGAATATACAAAAGAAATTAAGTGGATGGAAAAGAAGAAACCTCTCTTTTGCAGGTAGAAACACTCTTGTGCAAGCTGTTACCTCTATAATCCCTAACTACATTATGCAAACCTCTTGGCTACCTCAGTCCACCTGTGAGAAAGTTGATAAACTTAATAGAAATTTCCTTTGGGGAGATTCAGAGGAGAGGAAAAAGGTTCACTTAATAAATTGGGATACTGTCTGCTCTCCTAAGGAGATTGGGGGACTATGATTGAGAAAATGTAGAGATAACAACTTAACTGTTCTATCTAAACTGGATTGGAAATTACATTCTAAGAGTAAGTCCCTTTGGGTGGAAGTGGACAAAAATAAGTACATGAACCCATCCCTAAATGATTGGTCACGTAAGCCTAATTCATCCATAATATGGAGAACCTTGTTGAAAACCAATCAAATTGTGAAAGATAATACAAAATGGCTTATTGGTAATGGTTCAAAAGTGTCTTTATGGAATGACTGGTGGACAGGTGATAGCCCACTCGAAAGAAGGATGCAGGTTCCATCCTTGGCTAACCGGAACAGCACAGTGGCTGAGATTATAAGTCCCACAAGTAACTGGAACATTCAAAAAACTGGTATGTACCTTCCCACTTCTTTGATCTCTGATCTCTTGCACACACCACTGCCTTTGGAAGGCTCCCATCATGACTCACCATCTTGGGGTCTCACAAGTAATGAAAAATTCTCTATTAAATCTGCCTATAATTGGATTTATAATCCTATTCCAAGGCAGCACCATGACTTGAACTGGAATTGGATTTGGAAACTGAGGGTCCCTCAGAAGCTTAAACATTTTCTTTGGTTGGTCCAAAGTGACAGACTCCTTTCAAACGCCTTGAGGTTCACAAGAAATCTCACAAATGATCCTTCTTGTGAAAGATGCAAGGCCTAATACGAAAGTACTATCCACATCTTAAGAGACTGTCCGAAAGCTAATCTAGTCTGAAGATCATTTCTAAATAGGAATGATCTCCAACTAGATCAATCTATGGACCTCCAAAGTTGGCTCATTAAGAACTATAGTGCTAGAAAGGCCATTTTTTGGAGAGGTGTGAAATGGTCTATCCTCTTTGTATCTTTGATATGGAACATCTGGAAAGATAGGAATCAAGAATGTTTGGAAAATATAATCAACCCTCCCCCTTTTATTGCTAAGAAAGTTTGGAGATTGGCATGGAACTCATGGAATGCTTTCAATGAACTCCACTCACAGGTGACTCCTAACCCCCCCAAACTAATTGGTTGGTCTTTCCCTCTTACAGGATGGTTGAAAATGAATGTGGATGGTAGCTCTAAAGGGAACCGTGGCTCAGCTGCATTTGGAGGACTGCTAAGGAATGATCAAGGAAGGTGGCAGCTAGGTTTCTATGGGAAGCTAAAGGATTCCAATTGCCTACAAGCGGAACTTTGGGCAATCTATCAAGGCCTCAAGTTTATACAAACTCATAATCTAAAGAATGTGATCATGGAAACACTCCCTGGATGCCCTCAACCTAATCTCTACTAGGTTGGAGGAACTCCACCCCGAAAAAAATATCATTGCAAATTGCAAGCATATAATGGGATTGACTAACACTCCCATTATTCACACACTGAGGGAAGGAAATTTCTGCGCTGATAAAATGGCAAGCTTGGGAGGACTGCAGCAGGATTCCTTTGTTCTTTTTGATGTCCAACCGACTATGTTGGGGCAATTTCTTTTGAACGACCTGTCATGTGTATCTTTTGCTAGAGGGTTTAAATAACCTTGTTTTCTTTTTATATGTACCAAAAAAAAGAGATGTCATTGGAAGTGACTCAGATTATACGATGAGACTCGATACAAAATAATCAAAATGAAATGACTAAACATAACAGTGTAGCCATTCCAGTTGTACACTTACACACCAAAAATAGAATAAAACAAACGTGCTCCTTCAAAACCATAGAGTCAAGCAAGAACCAAACTTTCAACTTCCAATCGCCTAACCCCCTCAATTAAATCAGAGAGGACAGAGTACGTCAATATTGGCAGGAAAAAAAAAACCTAAGCCATTCCTTGAATTTAAACCAGCTTGCTCTCACCCCTCAAAAAAATAGAAAAAGAAACCCCTCCCCTTATGTTTTCGACAAACCTAAATGCAAGACAGGCACAAACAAGGATATCCAATCAAAACCGAGTTACCACCCTGTTCTCTCTGAGTTCCCTATCCTTTATAGCAGCAAGAATGATTTCTTGTGAACAACAATGAGAACTAAAACCAAACCTATCTCTGGCAAAACACCAAACTGCACTCTAGTTAAGGCACATTTCTTAGATTGGCAAACTTTAGTGTCCAACTATGTAGGAACCATAGCCCTCATACCTTAGCATCAATGTTGCTTTTCATCTCACACTTCCATTTCAGTGGCAGAAAGGGAGGAATTGAAGCTCTCCATAATCAAGATTTTCTTTGCTATGCTCCTCTAACACATACACATAGAGACACACAAACCCCACCAAAGGACAGCATGTCTTCCCACCCCAGCAACACTCTTCTTCTTACACTGTCCCCCCACCACTACACAAAAAACATCCAATGATGACATACTAGGTTTGAAACACTGCAGATTATGATGCATTGATATTTTCAACCAAAAAAAAAAAGAAAGAAAGAAGATATTTCAATTGAACTATATTTGGTATAAATAGTTACCAGAATTCACTAAACCAGTGACGACCCACAATCTAGGTACATCGATCCCAAACGGCATGGGTTCACGATCTAGATCACCAAAATGTACGACCATAAATTGTAATACTAACCCGAAATCGATTCTCTTTGGAACATGTAGAACAACTATAAAATACATATTAATTAACTATGAGTATATAGATTTATAATTAATATTATTTGAAATAATAGAAAATCGAGCACAAATGTAAGATAAATGGTAACTAACTTTGCGTTTATGAATGTTTTATGACATATAATGTTGTATAGTAGTGAAAACTATCTAGATAAGAATTGCAAAATAAATTGCAACCCAAAATACCGTCCTAACTAAACCTACCCTCATCGTATCGCGTACTTATACTCATATCACGTATCAAAGCGACCCATGATCCAGGCAATATTGAATCAAATAGCACTAATATACAGAAAGAAAGAGAGGGGGACAAGTAAAACCGCAAATATTTCTTTTCTTTTTTTTTTCTTGAAACTAAACAACAAAATTTCAGCTAACAGCATCAAAATGCATATCACAAGCAATCCTAAGGGACAACCAACAACGATGCAGACAAGTCCAAATCAATATCAGAGTTCAAATAGTATGGGATGGCACAAGTATCATCAACATCCCACCCATCCAAGAGATCCAGAAAGTGCTAAAATTTAGAAGCACTACGATCATGAACAATTAACAAATCGAATGACATAAATTACAGACCTGTTCACACTTCCCCAGGTTTTCCTTGTCACCAGTGTAGCCCTATACAGTCATGACACAGAAACAAAAAAAAATCAGGAAAGAAAAATGCAAAAGAAGAAGAACAAGAAGAGTCAGGTGGAAGTACTCAAGAGTCTCAGACCACATCTACATAGTGGAAAGCTTTCTCATGTAAAGCAGAATTATGTTATACACAGCAGAATGTACAAGAAAACAAAGTACTGTATTATAGATTCACCTTAAGAAGTTCCATTTCTTCTTTAGTAGGACAGAACTTTATAAGATTTTCCACTTGATCAGCATCTAAAATTGACTCATCCATTGCCAGTGCTGCAGCCTGGAGAAGTCAAAATAGTTGATCATTCAGTTTACTTGGAAAGGCAAACAAGCATGATAGTTGACAACAGCAAACATAAAACAGCATAATTAACAAAATCATCCGTCCTATAATCTTAAGCTACTTTTAGTCACTATGCATGGTCTCATACTGTATTGTTCATCTCAAACTATAGCTATGATTTTAAAATTACTCTCTCCCAAAAATGTTCACATCAAGAAAAGACGGACCACATCCCATTTATCCCAAATCCACTTCTTAGCCTTGCAACCTTTCTGACAATGTATAATGTCAAAGCCCCAACTGAAACCAAAACACACCAATGAAGGAAATAGCAAATGCCACAACTCCGGTCATGTCCCAATGCAAGAGCAAATGGTTGCCAATATCCTTGTCTTCCTACACGTACAACACTTATTCACAGGAACCTTACCCCTCTTTCTCAAATTCTCAGTGGGCAAGATGGCCCCATACAAGAATTCAAAAGGTCTATGACATTGTGACTTGAACTGTTTGCCAGCTTGTTATACTCAACATGCAGTACAACAGTTTGACCCTTCCAAATCTTGAAAGAGACTTTAGAAAACTCTGTACACATGTCACTCAGTATATCCACATCAGGTAACTTCACACATTATACATCCCAACATAACCATCATACATATTGCATCCATCAACCACTATGATTACCCACTTACAATGAATTCTTCAAGAAGGAAGAAATCCCCCAAACGAATTACGAGTACTCCTGGCTTGTTCCCTCAGACAGGTTTGTCACTAATCCCTCCCGCACAACTATTCATGCAGGACAGTCTAATTGAGCCTTGCTTCACTTCTGGCATACCATGTTCCAGCTTACTCTCTCCTCACCACCCTGGCCTGCCTCAAGTTCTCACCCTCAGTCCTCTTGGGTCCCTTCACATGACAAATATTATATACTTGTTTCTACTAGTAAAGATTTTCTAAGATTCTTATGAACAAGTATTAGCATTTGCTTTTACAGCTCAATTCCACCAATGTTTTCATGTCTGCATACATATGTAGGCTTATCAAACAAAAGAGGGGGGGGGGGGGGAATACACTGAAATCAAACACCTTGAAGAGCATCAAAGGGAAAAACTAGCAGATGGGTTCACAAATCATGGGTAAAAGATCTTCAATTGAGCACATAAAGTATGTCCACATCTAACTTACCATCATGTCAGAGAGAGGCATCTTAACTTTTGTGAGCATAATTTCAGTGTTATTGGCTCTCCTCAGGTCAACCTACAATGTATAAAAACAAACAAGAACTAGTATGGTTAAAAAAGAGAGGGAAAATGATTTGTTGAAGAATAAATTCTAACATAAAATGTTCTATAACCATCAATGGATGCTCACAGACAATCTGAGATAACAAGCTTAAGTTTTGTCCATTGTCTGATCATAATACTTAGCCATATTCTTATCATTATTAGTTATTGAGAGTGACAGTCTCCCACGCATGATTCCCTCCCCCCCTCCCCCCCCCCAACACACACACAAGGGTGTTACGTGTAGGTTTTTTTTTTTTTTGAAGGGGGGGTGAGAGAGAGGGGGGGGAACAGTATGTTACATATAAAACTTGGTTCATAAAGCACACACATTCATACTGTAAGCATGGATTAGTTAAAAGAGCTACTTAGGCAGAAAAAGATGGCCTAGAAGCACCAGGACTCATCAAAAGGTCCCCAACATGTTATCACCATAAATTGATCAGAAAATGAAGATAACAGAATCACCTCTCACAAATTAAAATATCTCAAAGAAATATTGAATTCATGGTATATTTACCAGGTGGACTCGATCAGTTTTAGATCCAACAGAATTCCGTCGCCCTCCAGATTTACCTCCGGCGCCATCTGACTTTGGGACTGTGGCAGAGAATAGACTCTCAAGTTCTGACACATCAAATTCTGGCGCACTAGAATTTAAGTGTACAACATCAGTGACTTAGAAGGGATGAACTACGAGTGCAAAATTATAGTTCACATGCCATGACAGAACAAATTTTTATTGTGTGTATTCCCGTGTTCATGCAAATGACAAGAAAACCACATCAAGGCAACCAAGCAAGCTATTCAATCTACAGCTCTGAAGAGATTACCAAAAGACAACTAACTTCTGCTTTGATATTAGGATATTAGTAAACCATGGGAGGAAGACAAGCACTTGAGTCATGGAAAACAAGAAAATGAAACCAAGGAAGAAGTTGTCATACATTTGAGGGTCTCCATGTCTTTGCAATTCTTCCCATAAGCTTCCTTGCAGTACCCTTGTTACCTTGCTCCAATGCAGTGGTTTTAGGGTAGATCTTCGAGGTGCTGAAGCAGGCGACATTCCAGCAGATCGTGAAAGCCCTCGACCTCTTCCTGAAGGCAAACCCCTTCCATCTACCGTTGATCCTTTAGCACCTAAAAGTGGAGGGGGGGGAGGTGCACCTCCTGGCGGTCTAGGTGGACCAGGTGGTGCAGGAGGACCAGGCGCACGAGCTCCAGGTGGAGGAGGTGGTGGTGGTGCTCCATTCAATGGGGGAGGTGGTGGAGTTCGTCCACCTGTAGTAGGGGGTGGTGGAGGTGGAAGCGCTCCACGCATTGGAGGTGGTGGAGGAGGAGGCGCTCCAGGCATTGGAGATGGTGGAGGAGGAGGTGCTCCACGCATTGGAGATGGTGGAGGAGGAGGCGCTCCACGCATTGGAGGAGGAGGCGGAGGTGGCACTCCATGCATTGGAGGAGGGGACGGAGATGGCACTCCACGCATTGGAGGTGGTGGCGGAGGAGGAGGAGCTCCACGCAGAGGAGGTGGTGGCGGAGGAGGAGGGGATAGGAATGGAGGCCCATTCCGTGGAGGAGGTAGAGGTGGTGGAGGTGGAGCGCCATGTAAACCAAAAGGAGGATGAGGAGAAGAAGAAGGAACTCCACGTAAGGGAGGAAGTGGTGGAGGCAGAGGTGAAGCATCATGTGTAGGAGGTCGGGGCGGCGGTGGAGGCGGTGGGGGAGGCAGACCAGGCACTCCAACTCCAACAGGCTTCACCAAAGAGGATGCATATGTAGGAGGTGGGGGTGGTGGGGGCGGCGGCAGAGAACCTAAAATTGTCACATGGGTAGATGCAGAAATCCCAACTGTCCACGGAGGTGGCGGAGGTGGAGGTGGCAAACCCCTAACATTCAGCCCACTAGATGAAGTGGAAGGTGGAGGGAGAGGAGGAGGTGGTGGAGGCGGAGGGGTTGCTTGAAGCGATGCCCTTGAGATCACCGGCAGAGGGGGCGGAGGTGGAGGTGATGGAGCTCCTACGGAGGTTGTCCAAACTGAATTTCGAGTGGGAGGTGGTGATATTGATGGTGGTGGAGGTGGTGGTGGAGGAGGAGGAGGGGAGGACAAACTTGTCACTCCTACTTGCAAAACCAAAGCAGATGATGAAGTATACGAGGAAGAGCTCCAAGTATAAGGAGGCGGAGGAGGAGGCGGAGGAGGAGCAGGGGGTGGGGGTTGGGTGGCCTCAGATTTTACTGCCTGCCGAATTGTCACGGAGTGTTCCAAGGGAACAACATGTAAAGACCCATTCAGATGAGGAGGAGGAGGAGGAGGATTAGGGGGAACAAGTTTTTGTGGGCTAGGGTCTGATAGTGGTGAATTCAAGGAAAGAGAGCATGCCGCATCTGAAGACTGGGGGCAAGATGTATATTTGGCTAGTAAAGGGTCTGCTCTATTTGTAGTTGTTTCAGGAATTTCATCTGTTGGAACCAAAGCTTCAGCAGCAGCAGTAGTAGGCGCCTTCGATTTTCCCCCAGACTGAGAATCCTTTGTTAGGGCAAGTATAGGTGGTGCACTATTATATCTTGATGGCGGATATGATACATGCATCGAATTAGTGTAAGATCCTTTGTTAGGAGGGATCCACCTAGATACCGTGTTAGGCTTTGCTGGTCTAGGCAGAGGGCCCTGATTTTCTTGCTGCTTAACTTTTTGTTTGGCAACACTTGAATCTGCAATTGGTTTTGAGATGGAAGTTGGCTGTTTCTTCAGTCCCATTGAGAGTGATTTATCGGATTTTTGTCTAGAGATATCAGCACCCAACTTCTGCTGTGAACCCTGCCCTTCTAACATCTTCTGAGTTAAAGTGTCATTGCTGCCTTGTTTATCCTCCATCTCCTCTTCTTCCTTTCCACGAACATCCGCAGTTCCTGCCTTGGTTTCTCCATTGCTGGACTCATCAGCAACCACTGGTGTGGAGCCTAATATCTCATTCGTACAATTCAAAGCAATGGCTTTCACTGCATGATGATTAGAATCCACCTTCCCATCCTGTTTATGATTCCCATCATCTGATGCACAGTCTTGAAATGCATGATGTTCCAAATCGTCCTTCCATACTATTTTATCAATTTCGTCATCTGGCATACTGTCTGGTACTGCATGAGCATCAAAGACTCCCTTCCCATCCTGCCCATCAACTAAATTGCTGAAAATCTCTTCTACCTCAAAAAACTCTTCGGGAGACACACTTTCTGTCTCATTCCCATCTTCACTTCCCACTTCTGTGTTGATAATAGATGGAATAGTATCAGCATCCGAAAAGAGTACCTGATACAGATATGAGTATGCATTCAACTCCTAACACTTCAGAAAAAGAACATTTCACATAAGCTAAACAATTATCTACCTCTGCTCTAAAGTCCTTTGGGAACTGGTCTTTAGCATCCCACAGAATATCGATTTCATCACGGTTCAACATCAAAACGTTCGACCGGACAAATGTTGTGTGGAACATGACTCTAAACATAATTTCCTCCCTAACTAAATCATCCTCCAAATGAATGCACTCAAGGACAACATCCCCTTGAATACGACGATGAATATCTATTTTCACTAGTGCACACTCTTCCTGCAGTAAGAAGTTATTAGAATACTTTGCAATTTAGTTGATTCATTCATTAAGTTTCAAATTTTTTAATTTGGCAGTACCTGTTGATAGAGGCGAGCATATTTTTTTGTCTTTGAAGTAGAAAACAAAAGTTTAGAACTTCTATTTGCGCTTGTTGAAGAAGGGTCCTGACCATATACTCGAACAACTGGTCGGCAACCCTTACCCCCATCAAACAAGGGAAGGATCCTTAGAATGATACAATCCAAAGCAAGAGGTGTATCTGATGGTGGCCAATCTGAACCCAAATTTCTTCTGGAAATGTATTGAAGGTATCTCATCTGGGAAGGTTGTGGATTCAAAGGAGACAAAAGATGAAGAAGTTCCCTAGGAGCTTGCTTGTATACCATTTCAAGAGTCTTCTGCTCACCAGTGTACTGTTTTCTGTATAGAAGAAGACCTGCCAGCATGAAGGCAAGTACGGGCCACCCTCCTCTTTCACAGTGCATCAGCAATACATTTTGTTGGCCCTCCAACGACAGCCAGCTCTCACTGGATCGCAAAAAGTGGTGGATCATCTCCAAAGGTAAGAGTGGACAGCCCTCATATTGCCGAGGGTACTCCATGACTGTCATGTCATACTGAGACAGTATGTCAGAAATTTGGCTCCTCCTTTCACCTTCTCTGAAGTTAAAAACCATGAAAGAAGCATCGGGATAGTGGTCTTGTAGCTGAGCCACAATGCCACCCATGTATGTTTTGTACTCATCGTCATCCAATACGTCGGTGGAGAAGCAACAATCAAACACTGCAAATGAAGCAAAAACAAATGGGGCAACTACTAGCAATAGATAACTAGGTTACCAAAACTATGAACTATTATATTTAACACAACAAAGAAGAAAAACAAAAATATACAGATATTTGAACTTCAAATCTCTAAAAGACTACCTTTAATATGCTGATTTGAATTTCCAAAAATAAGCTAAAGGAAATCCACATTCTCCCGGAAAGATATCAAGGAAATACACCTACCAGAATCAAGCTATCTAACAATTTGTTAACCCTATATATCCAGTACCCACAAATACACTCCTATTTCAATGCAAAACTGTCCACATGTTTCCCATCCATGAAAATAAAAAACTGATAAAATAGAAGCAGAAAGAGCTTTTGAATTTGTCAAAGCCACATAATGTAGGTGATATTGGAAAGGGTGATATACTTCGCTAAGTATAAAAGTGAACCTGTCTCCAACATTATGAATTCCTCAATTTCTTGTTGGTCTCAAAATTCTCTTAACTAGGTCCATTAATATCAACTAAAACCAGAAACCCAGAAGTGTGTGTAGGAGAGAAAAGAAATAGTATGAACCACTTAATTAAGCAAATCAAACGAAATCTTGCAAAGAATTCATCATAATTAAGCAATGCCAACACAAAACATAGAATTGACCTAACAATATTTCAAATCCAGATTGCCCATCCACATAGAGCATTGTCCGTAGAATCATATCCATGATTAAGGAAAAAAGCACGTACCGTAGACCCTCTCGGAGATCTCGAGAAGCCGATCCGGCGGCTTCCGATAAAAGAAGCGTCTGAACAGCGCCATCTAATGGCGCTGTTTCTCCCCCGATCGGATCCAAAACTTCAATTCAACGGACTCCACCGCCACCAAATTGTTCCAATAACACACCAAATCTCTCAATTATGCCACTCAATTACCTCAATAATGTTATTACACTTCAATCGCTCACCCAAAATTCAGAAAGACAAATACGTGATCACATTACAGTCAACACAAAAGCGCTAGAAAAGAGCTCCTTCCAATCAAATTTATCACAGCCAATTCAATTCGATCCAATAGCTTAATTGATTAATAGAATGAGAGAGAGAGAGAGAGTAGAAGAAGAACTTGACAGTAGAAAGGGATCGCGAAAAAAGGATGTTGAATATAGGGTTTGTATGATGGATATGATGTGATCGTCGGCAATGTTTTAGCCTTTTAGGAATCACATGGAGAGAGAAAGCCAGAGAGAGAGAGAGACGTAGTGGACTGAAAAGTTGAAAGTCGTAGAGAGACAGAGGCAGACCCGACGAGACCCTCCCTTCTTTCTCTCTCTCTCTGCAACTTTGGCTGGATCGATAATCTGAGGAGATTATACACGTGGCAAGTCGTGACAAATGGTATCTGACACAGAGAAGAGAGAGAAAAAAGGGTTTGGTAATTCAGGTCTGGACAAGAGGAGATAGCTTGCCAAAGGACGCAGGAACACCACAGATATGGTGGGCAGGGACCCTAGTCTAGTATTCACAATGCAGAGGAGATCTAAAAGTCTAGTCGAGTTAAGGTGTTCTTCAATCTCGATTCAATTCTGATTTAAATTTAGTTAGGCAGATGAACAGTCAAGTTGATTTGAATATAAAACTAAGATCGATACAAATTGGTCCACCACTCAAATTTGATCCTTCTGTTTATTTTGTAATTTGAACAAGCTTATAAGACTTAAATTTAAATCCAGTTTGCTCTACTCGGATTATTTACTAATCATTTTTTAACTAAAAATGACAAGAGAAGCGATCTGGGTATAGTGCGAACAAATTAAATCAATATTGAATTAGGTACAATTTAATTTTAGTTCATTATTAACCAGCTTCGTAAATTATATTTTATTTTTTTTGGTTCAGAATCCACTTCATAAATGGAACAAAATCGAATGTTACTATTGAATTAGAAGTTGAACCCTTAATCTATTGCTAAATCAGCAATAGTAATGAATTTTATTCTTATTTGATCTAAATAAATAGCAATCACTTTTTGTTACATGCAATTTTTTTTTTTTGTTAGATACTATTAAAGGAAGGTAACAACAAAGTTCGAACCAATGATCTTAAAGTTCAACAATGGAGGGGTGACCATTTAATCAACTTTTTTTTCATATTGGATGTCCATACTTGTACCGACTATTCCCTCGAACTATAAGAACAGTCATAATAATTTAAGCTAATTTTAAAGATATGTCCCTGAAGAATAAACTTAATTAGCCTTTAAGAGGCGTGAGAAATATCAAATTTAAAACTTCTTACATATAAAAAGACAAACTTAACCATTATATCACCTTTAATAATTACCCTTCACCCACCTACTAACCCTCTTGTTACGTGTAGTTTGGAGGAAATAATGTGTTACTACCATCCAAACTTAAAAGCACATCCATGCAAGTTCTTAGATGCCAAAGGGTATTTGCATTTTCTTTTCATAAAATAATCAATCATCATGAAAATGCATTCACTCTCTCTCTCTCTCTCTCTCTCTCTCTCTCTAGAGAGAGAGAGATACTGTAAATAAATATACCACTTGTAGTGCACGTGCCTTACATAAGGGGACAAGAGAAGCCAGCACATGGAGCAGCATTCCCTTGACAAATAGAAGTTTGGTGCTAATTTGACCCAATTACTGAGTTTGGGGCTTTTAACTATTTGTTAATAATCCCATGTAACTTTCACTAAATTGCAGTTGAAGCAATCTCAACCACACGTTAGGTAGACCATAAAGACATCTAAACCCACGTGGCTTCCACTGGTGTGTGTTGTCGAGCAAATGGTCAAACAGATGGACGGTCAGATGATCATGTCAGTGTAGGTCCCACCACGTGCACGTCATGTGCTGGCTCACACTCGCTTGTCCTGTATCCTCGAACAAAAGCATCATTAATCATGTAAAGATCTTTTGGGATTTCGTAGTGCAAAAAATTGTCAGTTTTTGGAAATATTAAAAGTTTTGAGGGTGTAATTATGGGGGTGGTTAGGATAATTATGGCAAAGATAGCTCCTTTTTGGCTCTTCACATGGTCCGGATCCAATCATCCCAAATGAAGTTGTGTCGAAATTTCAAAATCATCCCTGGAATGAAAAAGACTTTGGTAAAATTTTGGCGTTGCTTCATTGTCATATAGAGGTTATAGCACTTATTTTCGAACGTAAACTTTTTTTTCAGTTGTACAACGCATATCTTAAAAATGGGGGTGTTTAAAGAGAATATTATGAATCATCCATCTCGGCTCAACATGATAAGAGATGAACTAAAGAATTTGTCGAGCTGGGAAAGAACACCAAATTGATGATTCCAATTGGTAGGTCCTAAAATCTATTACAAGTCTATTGTATCAAGGAAATCGCCAAGGAAAGAGTTTTTCGTAAAATTTATTATTGGTTGCGTTGATTATCATTTATCATAGTTTATGCGTTAAGTAATCAACATATGAAAAAAACAATTACATACAACTCAATCGAGAACCGAAGTACTTTAAATTGTCATCGCACTGATGAAGAAAACAAATTACATATAACTCAATCGAGTACTGAAAAATTTTAAACTGACACCACACTGTTGTCTTAAACTTCACGATATCCTATTTTGTTTATATCGTATTTGTTTTGATTGTGGTTTAACCTCCATACTTGTTTTTTGCATCATCAATTTATAACTTGCTTAGCAAAATATATTTATTTTCCCTTTCAATGGCTAGGCCACAAAAATAGGATAGCTTTTAATGTGTCCCAACCCCTCCAGTTCCAGATGAAGGATCATAGGGTCCCCCATATGGCTGCTATGAGACTTTTGTCAACCAGTTGTAAAATGGTCCTTCAAATTATTTAATTTGGATGCAAGAAAAAGGAGGCAATAATTTATAACACAACCAATTTTCTCCCGAGTAAGATTCCATCCGATATATTTTTTCTATAATTTTTTTTTTACGAATCACCTATTATATATTGAAGTGGAACTTAAATATATATATATATAAGTAAATTCATTACTCATTAATAGTGGATAATTTTCCAAGAAGATAATTAAAAGAAATAATATTAGAGGGGACTTGCCTACTTGTCTGATACCTCTCAAGGAAAATCTCGAATTAGATCCCAAATTGACGGGTTAGTGTGAGGTTATCCATGCGGTTATGCACTATTCGAATAGAAATCTATTTTCTGAAAAATCCTGACTTTCGTGCTTTGAGTTGAAAAACAATATTACTTGCATTAAATTTATTTATAAAATTCATTTTTACCATTGGAGTAATAGTGTGTCCCAGTATGAATTCGGTCGGCCTTTTCTACTCGTAGAAACAAGTAATTAATCAATCAAATCAATAAATTTGGTCTCAATAATTTTTATTGAAACAAAAATAAAAAAACCAAAAGGCAATCTATTACAATGGTTTCGACATATTGGGCCATTTGACCCCTATGTACTGCCTGAATTATTAATGGTGGAGCCCCATTTTGAAAGACTCGGTTACAGAAACACCCAAGCCATGATTTGTCATTATATCCTCGGGCTTTTCATACTTTACGCCCCGAAATATTTTAAAATTCTCATTTTATATTCTTAAAAATTAAATTTTTAGCATTACATCCTCGATGTATCAAATGTGTTGCAATGTGACCCTTTTATAAACTTTTGTTATTTTTTCTATCAAAAGTCAACCCATTGACACTGACGGAAAAATTAACAGAAAGATTACAGTGCAACACTTTTGATACATTGAGAGTACAATAAAATTAATTTAATCTTTGATGATATAAAATAAAAAATTTAAAATCTTTGTGCAATTCGCCCTATATCCTCCTCTAATAAATGTGGCTCTATTGGACTAGCACTACCCTCATATATTCTCACTCTTGATTGTGGCATTGTGTGTCTGTCCTCGTCTCTTGATGCTTTCTGAACAACAACCCGATGTTGATTGATTTTAAAGTTCATCTTCTTAGGTTCTATGTACCCTTTTTTTAAAAGAAATATGATCAACTTTGACAATCAACTTATTTCTAGATAATTTGCATCTTCCACCTCCCTAATTTTTGTTACGTTGGACATGAAACCATAATAATTAGTGTTCGTTTGTCTAAGCGATGCGCGTCGTTGTCTATCACTTACTTATTCGTTCTTGTTGATCGAATCGCACAGAAGAATTTGACAAAAGACTTGAAGAATATGTGCATAGCATTGGACTAAAAAGCACATCTTTTAGGGCTACGATTGAGGGGTTTAGGCCAGTGGGAAAATTGAGTTTGGACTGATTTTGAGTATGATATTTGAATGGACTTGGGCTACAACCTGGGCTCTGTAGCCCAAACCTAATCTGAGGATCTTACGTACAATCACTCAGTAAATTAAGTCAAATCATTACATCCCAAAATTGTAAAAAAGAGGCTTATGAACCAAAACATTGCTAGGCAAGATACTGACAAATCTCAATACAAAAAAGGGAATATCGTAATCGTGCTCTTAACTTTGACACAAGTTTCAATTTGGCCTCTCAGCTCTTAATTGTCTTAATTTAGTCATAAACCTACGTAAATCGTAGCAAACAGCCTCTTCTGTCCAATTCTCTGACTTAGAAGGCTAATAAAATAGAAATGAAGGGGGTAATTTGCTAGTAATTTGGCCTCTCAACTCTTAATTGTCTTAATTTAGTCATGAACCTACGTAAATCGTAACAAACAGCCTCTTCTGTCCAATTCTTCGACTTAAAAAGCAAAAAAAAAAATTGAAATGAAGGGGCTAATTTGCTAGGATTTACTAAATTGAGACATTTGAAGTAGATCAAGGCAGGGGCATCTATGATATTTATCTCAAACAAAAGAAGAAACAAAATTATAACACAGCATATCTTATTTATTCATGCTTGTCAAGAAGAAAGAATGAATCATCCTCCCAGACCCTCGGTGGTTTCCTCTTCCCTCACCTGTTTGGGCTATGCAATAGAAGCCTGGCTTCATATATTTTCAGCCTTGTTAGTCTCGAGCCTTGTGCTGATATGTACAGGCCAACTGATAGATCCTTTGCATGATGTTCTGGAGTTCAACAGCATCATGGCCATGTTTTCCTTTACGAGGTTGAGTTTCTTTCGTGTTGTCTCTCTGTCAAAGATTCTTCTTCCCAAACCAAATTAAATTGAGTACCTTTGTAGTTACTTCCCATGTTTCTTAACTGCAAATCAAACTTGAATTCTTAGTCCAAGGTTAAAATCATCAACAACACTAAATAACTTTTGGACAAAAAAGCATGGTCATTTATCGTCTTCTAATCAATGGCATAATTCAGTTCACATCAATTTATTAACCCGGGGCTAGAAGGGCAATGTGAATAACATTAAAGTGGTGGAGTTCGGGACTGAAGGAGGAAAAAATAAAAAACGTGAAACAACTAAAACAAGAAGGAAAGGGGTGGATTACAGAGACCTAAGCTGACTACATACAACAAAAAGAAAATTCTGTCATTTTAATTGATTACTTTTCCATAGAATTCCTTTTTTTACCTTTTTGGAACCATGTTCTTCGAACTGCTTGGCGGATGTGGCGCTCGTGCCTCTCCAAGAGCTCATCAACTCTGTGTGATTGAGATAACAAGGGACCTGAAAATTCAACCTTCTCTCCTTGATCCTGATAAACCTGTGCCAAGTCCAATGGTAAGTAAAATGGTCAAAGAAAGCATTGAAAGATGGCATATAGTATTGATATAAAATGCTCTTACGTGCATTTGAATTTTGGCTAAACCAAGTTAGAAGACATTGACTGTTGAAAATAAAAAATGCTGGGATTTTAACTTGGCGGTTTTTTGACCCTACTTACAGAAAAGTGAACCTGTTGGGTGTGACTGACACCTACTTCGGAAACTGCAATTCCATATAGGTGTGCACTAATCTCTCCTGATTCTAACATTTAAATAAATTTTCTTTTGATCAGTAGTCGTCAGGAGTTTAAATTTTGCAATATCAAAACCAGTATTTCTGTTCAGTTTCAATAATTGTTCACACTGATGCTGAAAGGGAACTATATTAGTAAAATTAGAAACTATGACAAACTTACCAATCCGATCCTCTTAACAGCCATTTCCTCTTTTTGATAAAGTGCCAGTGATAGTTCCTGTGAGTGGTATCCATCTGAAGCATCAAACGAATCTGGTTGCTCTAATTGGCTCCAATGTTTCAACATTGCATGCTTGACAGTCTCATAGGACTCTTGGCCTCTAGAATTGGTGCGGTTTCCATTTACAGCATCAACATTTTCGTGCCTTTTTGACTCAAAATTATTCCTTGACTGCAATGCAGCTGAAGGTTCAAAAATAAGACTTCTTGAACTAGACCTACTTCGTGATCTTATAGAAGAATCATCTATTCGCCTTTTTGCCCATGCAAAGCCACTTGATCCAGGGACTTGTAATGGACCCGAATAGGGAACATCTCCTTGAGATGCATTCTTTACATGGGAAGCCTCTTGCATCACATCCATTGATGGCTTGGGTGGCTCTACACCCAAAATGATATCTCCTTCTTTGTGATTACTTGCTCTATTCAGACTAATCTTATGGGCACCTTGAATTTGGGGTTGTAAATTCTGCATATACAAATTAATTCGTGAGTACGGGAAGCAATACAGAACACAAACAGCCTCATACAGAAAAAAAATAAACGTGCACATACATTTAACTATTAATTATATGTAATTACAAGAGAGAGAGAGAGAGAGAGAGACCTCTTCTGGTGCCAATTTACTGAGTCCGTTCTGTTTTCTAGTTAGCTTTCTTGTTGTTTCTGGCCCACGTGTTCTCCCACCAGGTCTCTTCCTGAAAATCCAGTGCTAATTTGATTATTAACTATGATTTTGATGGGATAACATAGATTAATATTAGATAGAGCATAAGGGTCTCTAGCATATGGCAATTGCATAAGAGTAAGATACGTTGAGATCCATTGGACTCAATAGTTAGTGAGACACAGTCCAACACCCGACCCTTTTTATCACATCATTCACATATGTCTCCAAAAATGATAACATGTTATTAAGACATTGAAATGTTTGGTCAAACTAAGTCCATTTTGCATTATGTCCTAAAATAAGTTAACTTATGGTTTTCAGAGCAATTAACTCAATATGCTAATGCATGCAAAGTAAGGTGCTCACGATTTTGAGAAATGACCTCCATTCTAACCAGCTTTAGTTGGATCTATCCAGTACCTTAGTTGGATCTATCCAGTAAAGTGATTGTATTTCACAGTCACCTTTCAGTTTTTGAGAAACCTTTGAGGTATACCCTGAACTCCCCGCTTCCTTTAGATGCCATGCTAACACCATGGCGCTACAGTAGTTTTGGCATATTTTAAAAACCCAGCTTATGCTTTCACACTTATTGGAACACCGTTACAAATGATGTTCACCAGAGCCACCTATTATCTCATGCAACACTGAACATAAATAAACTATACATGGCAATTTTTTGAAAGGCTGAGGATGATTATCTAACAGAACTCCAAGTTTACATATGAACCTACTAATATAAAATTATGCTCTAATTGAACAGAAAAGCCTCACCTTCTTGCCTCCTCGTGCTGTTTTGCATCAATTTCTTTGCTTGGTGGGTATTTTGGCAAGCTTGACGGGTCACATGCATAAGGCTTCATTGTGAAATACTAAGAATAGCAAGTAAAAAACGTAAGCTTAAAAGAATCCCAGTGATATAAAGCAAAGGTTCAACATTTACAAATTAATTTTGCATAATTATATTGCAATTTTGCTGTAATCCATGGAAAGTGCACTAGAACGAGAATTTAAATCAAATTGGTTGAAAAGAAGACAGTAGAGTACTTCTGTCAGAGCTCTAAATTGCCAGCAAGAACTATATTTAAGCTGCACATTAGTCTCACATCCATATGAGGCATAAAGGTGAAATTGATTTGGTTAATTTGCTTCTATGCATCTTTAATTTACAAGAACATAGTGCAACATGCCATTGAGCAATTCCTGCAGATTCAATAATTTTCTACATCGTTACCTCCGATACAAGAGCAGAAGATGCAGTCCCACGCTTGTATGGTTCCACAGAAAGAAAAGTTTCTATCAGATTCACAGCATTTTTAGGTAGATCCTTGAAGGTCTCCAAGAGACAGCTTTCATAAGGCTGTTGTGGCTTAAATAGAGTGGCATGAGGAAGTTTAGACTTCTTCCAGTAATCATCCGGTGGAGACCCACAAAGTTTGAAAATTTTGTGCAACTGTTCAACCTGCAGTGTGAAGGAGAACATTCTGTAAATAACTTCAAGCAGCAAAGTAGAGAAGATCATATGCAAAAGAGCTATAAATATAATTATCTTCAACTAGTATGAAAGTTATATAGAACCTGAAACATGGCCTTGTGACAGCCCCAGTATGTGTGTTTGCTCATAATGTATATGCTTCAGAAACAAGCATCTTTAAAATAATAATGATTTGACCGAAATAACCCAGTGATGTAGCATATTGTACTCCATTGAGATGAGCCAGCAGATTGTTATTATTCCATATATAAACAAAAAGAAATGCACCATAAGATATGATTTTCTCTCTTTTTTCTTTTCACCTTGAAAAGGTGATAGAAAAGTGCTCAGAATCTGAAGTCTGAACAATGTTGAGACAGCATAATGTAAGTTAGTTAACATATAAGTCTGCAACTATTGATCATTTACATATATATACCCCAAATCATGTTTTCACCTATAATCTGTTTAATCTGGGGTGTGCATTATGCATTATGAAATCCAACGTAATCTCCCTGAGCATTTCTAATCTTAATTGCTCAGATATGGTGGTGCATAGCTTGAAACATGGTAAGGGTCATCATTTTTCCAAAATAAGCAAGGCTCAATTTGGAAAGAGTATACGGTTCTTTCCACGGTGGCAAAGCGGTTAAAATGGTATATGAGGGCAGTGATTCCCATGTTCACAAAGTTTCAACAGGGAGACAAAGTTGAATGAATTTGATCGAATCAGTGAATTACTTTATTAAGCATTAATGTTGAAGACAAATTGAGTTTAGACTTATAGTATTCTTCCGAAAGGGTTCCAAAGAAAAGGTTTTACAGGAAGGAAATTATAACAAGCTCTTACCTCGTGGTCTACAGGATATACTTTCTCGCAATATATATCTTAATATTACAAAACTAATCGCAGGTGATTACCTCAGTTCTCCCTTGAAGGATAGGTCTACCAAGGAGAAGTTCTGCAAATACACAGCCAACACTCCATAGATCCACAGAAGCTTCATAATCCGTTGAACCCAACAGAAGCTCAGGAGGACGATACCATAAAGTGACAACTCGACTAGTTAAAGGCTGTCTGTGCCCAGAATTACAGAAATTTGCCAACCCAAAATCAGCTACCTTCAAAACACCTTCATTATTTACCAGAAGATTTGCACCTTTAATGTCCCGATGCATTACGCTCCGAGAATGACAATGCTCAAGTCCAGATAACAACTGTTTCAGGTAGCATTTAACCTGCATAATGGAGCCAATAGAGTCTTCAATAAAGAAGCTAACATTAATTTACTCACTTAGTGTAAGTGAGGGGGCGATTGGAAGCATGAAAATGAAAATATTTTAACTCATAGAATTCACACATGTATTCTCTGGAGGGTTCAAAAAAGTTTATTAGTTAACTAATTAGGATTTTAGAAACTGAGTTTGGGCTTCCATATGTTGTCAGGGTATAGTTGTTGAGATGTCCCATCAGATAAATGACTTAAATTTTTGTCCAGTTTAACTCAAACTAAAGTTAAAAAGGTGTCATCTAGTGTGATCTCTAAACATGCCAAATAAATTTCAAGAATGGCAATATACAAATCCAACATGAACAAACCTGTGCTTCGCTGAACTTGATGTCAGGGCAAGATAACAGTCCAGAAATATCATGTTCCATGTACTCGAACACGAGATACATGCTACATGATAATCTGGAAGTAATAAGGCCCTCCAGTTTTATGATATTTGGATGGTCAAGCCTGCGAAGAATCATTATTTCTCGAGCCATAAACCGAACACTTTCAGGCTCAAAATTATCAAACCGCACCTTCTTTAAAGCAACTATCCTCCCAGTGTCCAGGTCACGTGCTCGGAATACACTACTATACGTGCCTTGACCAATCTATTAAAATAGGAAAATCACATAGAAATTCTCATCAGATAAATAGCTAAAGTTCTAGAAGCTATAAAAGTACAGTAACGTGAGAGGATATTACTAGTAAAAAGGGCTAGAGGAGTCAAGCTCAGGGAATGACCAGCAACACTAAAGGCAAATAAAATTCATAATCACCATGTCATAATGCAGTACGCAAGTAAATTTTACCAAAAACTTTCACTCTAGGGGATATCCCATGGAAGAGCAAGATATCTGGGCACTTCTGCTAGAGCAATTATGTATGCAGAATATTCAAACCAACATGGTAAGATGTCCAGTATGCGTCTAAAACAGTTACAATTTCTAAGTTAAAAAGGCTTAGAAACAGAAGTAAGTAGTTATACAAGAGCATGCTCAAAATTAAAGCAATTACGTCAACAGCAAGAGAGCAATCTGTCATTGCTTCATCGGTGTAAAATTCCCAAAAATGGTGGATAACTATTGAATTCACAACACACAGACATGACCACAGGAGCATGCATTCCTTTGCATGTCATGTATGCATATATAGGCAGTCAAAAGATTCCAGAAGTTATAAATGCGTTAACATAAGAATAGTTTCTGATACAACAGATAGCAGATGGTAAGATTATTGTCTATTTCTATAATTTAATGATAACATTTTTTAATTTTATATTGGAATCTTTCCCACTTAAATTAGAACAATTTAAGACTGATAGGAATGATTTATTTACATATAAAATCAAAATAGATAACAACCAAATTTAACCTTTAATTGGCATAGTTTTTCAAAATAAGAAAAGAATCAAACTTAACTAGAAATTTAAAAAAAAATTGGATTCGCTAGTAGACGAAATAGAAGTTAATAACAAAACAAAAACATGGATATGCATGAGTTTAGAGAAATGATGATGCTGTAGTCAACAACCAGACATGATTTTGTCAAGCCTATATTTGAGAGAGAAGGATACTTGATACAATTAACGAAACTACTAATAAGACTTAAAATGCAACTACATTAAAGTCTGACAAATGAGACATCAGTTATGCTCCAAGACATATACCATATAATAACTTTCAAATTCAACATTAATTATCTACTAAGACAACTTAACAAAGTTAAACATTAACAAGTCACCAAGTCCTTATAACAACAACATGATCACAGTGATGGATCAACCTTTTCCAATTTTTCAAAAGACTCTGCTCTAAGTGGCACCCAGCCATGAATGGCTTCACCAGCAACAGCACTGAGCCAAGCAGGCCAACCAGCAGCAACCTGTTCTCCCTCCACATACTTTTGCAAATTCCCCAACCTAAAACTCAACGACTCACCACCATTAGAACTCGCTCTCCCTGACTCACCCAACTCGCTCCCACTCAACCCTGAGTCAGTCCTCTTCTTGTTCTTCTTCTCCAATTCCACCACCCACCCATTACTACCCACCCGACTCCTACCTGAACCTGCAAGCGCATTGTCCCGAAGCGCCCCGGAATGTTCGACAGCGGGGGTCACGGATACCGCCTGCTTTGAGGTCGCACAACCCATGGAAGAAAAGGTCACCGACCCAGCACCATAAAAGTGGTTCTCAAGGGAAACCAAGATCAACCCAACATCAAGATTTGGGTCAATTACGCTAAATCTTGACCTGGGTCAATCTCTTTCTTGAGGGTGCAGAACAAATTCTCAATATCATTGAAAATTTGGGGTTATATACTCGAGCATTACAGTCACTTTCTTTCCTCTGCGACAATTGCGGAAGGTGAAGAGGAGAGATAGAGAGAGGAGGGGAGTGTTGATGGGTTCACAAGAGAAATGAGCGGAATCAACGGAGAGATGATGTTGTGGCAATGTGTATTTGGTTTAGTTTCTGTTTTGGTGTTTTTATAAAAGGCGATGAAAATGGCAGACTTTTTCTTTTGGAACTGCTTTGACTTTTGTGTGATTTGTCTGTGTATGTGGGAATTTAAATCCAATTCTTTTGTTTGTATTTGATATTTGAGGAAGCCTCTCTGCCTATGGGTATGGTACCTAATAAAATTCTAATTTTTCAATGTGTAATTATAATTATAAAAGATACTATAATTTTAAAAAGTTAAATTTTATTTTTTTGAATAAAGTTAATATTGATTGAAATTATTTATTATTAATCTTATATTTCATTCTCAAATAATTTTAATCAATTATAATTTTATTTTTACACTGACCAACAAAAGAGCCCGAATAACATAACGGGCTGACTTTTAAGACAAATTGGTATTAGTAAGATTGATAATTGAGTTGAGTCTGTCGAACTCATTTTTTTAAGCGAATTTAAAAAATTGTTCAAACTCAATTCGTTTAAAAAATGAGTCGAGTCCAAAATTAGTCGAACCCGAGCTGAACCCAAATAACTCAACTATTTTACATATAAACGAGTCGAGTTTTGCGAGCTCGAACTAAATTTTTTAGGTTCATCTAAAAAATTGTTCAAAGTAAGTTCTTTAGGTTCGTCTTAAAAATTGTTCAAGCTCGAAGTAAGTCCTATCCGAATCGAACTCGAATAACTCAGCTCAATTATCGGTCATAATTTTATTAGTAATGTCGTTAGCCTAATAAAAGAATTGGTCTAAAAATAAAAATTAAATGATATGACATGACATGACATGACATTATTATAATTGTGTTGTTGATTCCAATTCTACACTTCTAAAATTTTTATTTTTTTTATTCTTATATCATTTAATCCTATTCTTTTAAAAAAAAAAAATATAGGTTGTTTTAAATTTGCTTTAAATATCGCAGTACTTTTTAAGGTTCAAAGTTTCAAAACCCCATTTATATGAACCGGTGGCAGCATCTATTATGCCTTTACAATTGTGTCCGTCCGTCCGTCCGTCCGGTGTTTGAGGCTATAGAAAGCAACAGGGACTATGGTTGTTGGCACGCAAATTTTTTTTTTTTTTTAAAAAAGTGGGTCCCACTAGGATCAGCCAATAATCTGGTAAATTAATTGGGTTGGTGTTGACTAATAGGTATTTGTGGATGGACATACCCTTATTGTTAACACTAACTGTGAATTAATTTAAATCAGATTAATTATATGAAAATCGTACAAGAAGAAATTTCTATCAAATAGTTGTTTGGAATTGTGTATTTATATACATATAGGGATGTTAATAGAACTATGTCGTGTCTGTTCATATTCTATTATTTTAGTTCTCATTAATTCCAAAGCTAAGATTGTTTCATTTTTTTAATTTAGTACCCGGTGTTCGTTTTCACGTGTAAAATAGACGGGGATGTTTTCATATTAGGTAATACTATAATACTCGTTTTCTTTTTGATATAGTATTGAAAAGTGAAAAAAAAAAAAAAAAAACCTTCAAATGTTGCAGATTTCACTCTAAAAAGTAAGGTTTTCACATTCATGTGTAAAACTGAAAGGGATGTTTTCATATTAGGTTACACTATGATACTCGTTATCTTTTTAATATGATATCAAAAAGTGAAAAAAAAACTTTAAAATGTTATAAATTTCACTCTAAAAAGTGATAGATTTTCACTCAAAAAATGGTAAGTGAACCCCAAAAACATATGTATTATTTTATTAAATATAATTAATATTATTTTTTTTCGGTATTATAGTCGGATCCCTACATATTTGTTCATACTGATGTACGTGTATATAGAAGTGGGAGGGAATGGAATTATGGGTAAAAACAAGGCTCAAGTCAGAGAGAGAGAGGACATGTTGATTAAAGGAGAAGACTAGGAGAGAGAGAGAGAGAGAGAGAGATTAAAGAGAAGGAAACAATGAAGATGAGTTTTCTCTCTCACGCATATCCCTGTTACCTTTTTCCAGTTTTCACATCCTAGTGCTTTCGTTATGTCACTACTCCACTGGCCAGACAGATCAAGTTGTGTGAGGCCCACAAACCCAAAAATCAAATGCCTGGCATATGCATCTCCCTCTTTTGGGCTTAGGAGAGTACAGATTGCTGATGCCATCACTCAATGAAGACTCCCATGATCCATCTCTCTCTGTCTCTGAAATTCTAATCAGATGTTTTAAGAAAATTTCCAGAACGATGTTACAAATTTGCATGCACAAATATATGGGAGAATATTTGGTATATATATAAATATAAATGGAAGCATTTTATCCGTACCCGATCTTTTACTTGTGTACTTGCATTACAAGCCTCTAAATCATAATACCACGACTCTTTAAATTAAAACTATGTATAACCTCGTCTCATCGTCGTAGTACTACAGTATTTTTACTCAATTCCACATTTCAAGTTTAGGTTACCAATTATGGCAATTAAACCTAGAAAAAAGGTAATTGAAAAAGAAAGAAACACTGTCAAAGGAAACAACAAAGATGACATGACGGTAAAAGGAGAGATTGTCAAAATTAATTTTTCATTCTCCAATAATTCAAACATATTAATCCAATAGGGAACTTTGGATGAAAAAAAAAAAAAACCCCCTCAAGATTACTATCTCGATCGATGTCGTAAGAACAAGTTTCTTGAAACATATCTTAGTCGACCCAATATATTTGGTTTGCAAATAATAGTGTTTACATGTAACTTTGAGTCATACCCGATACATATTTGGTTCGTAAAATATGTGGTTGTGATGATTTTTGTTTTTTTTTTTAAGAAAATTTGAAATTGTTAGTGCCGCTTAACTAGTTTTAAATAGGGGTACAACTTGAACGGGTCAACTTGAATTCAATCCGAAAAAAACAAGGACTTGGGTTAGAATTTTTAATATTTAGGTTGAGCTTGGAAAAAAAAAACTTCAATTTGAATTGAATTTGGGCAAGCATCGGATTGAGGTATCGGGTTCAACTCGAATATTAAAATCGGGTTAAACCCAAATATATATATAAATATATTTAACTAGAGTTAGTATTTATTTTTACTCTTTAAAATCTAAATTTCTACTTCACCTCAAGTCTTCACTCCTGCCCCTCCATCACTCTCAAATCCCTCTCTCACTCGTCGCTCATTCCTCTCTCAATCGTTACTCGTTTAAGTCGTCTCAGACTCTAAGTCTCCCTCTCTCACTCGTCACTCCTTCTCTCACTCCCTCTCTCTTCATCTGTGACTCGCCCTTCATCTTAGATCACTTGAAAAAATCAGATCTACACTTAAAAAAATCAAATATACATTTAGAAAAATTAACCCAAATTAAGTAACCCTAGATAACCCGTTTTTTAATCTAAAATTAGTATAAATTAAGTAACTCGAATTCAACCCGAGTCCGCTTGAATTAAACTCGAATAATATTTAGGTTGAATACCTCGAATTAAGGTAAAAATAAAATTAGAATTAGAATTAAAAATTATATACCTAAGGTTAAATTAAAGTTGACCCTTCACCCCATCCATCCCCGTTTTAAGGAGCACCCCTAATTTCAAAGCATGGCTTTCAAACTGTATGTAGACATAGAAAAGGACACGTGTGGTACACTACAGCACAGCAGTACAGCTACCTGTAATTCATGAACACCGGCAATTAGGTTGACTCACTTGCCTCAACAGTGGTCCTCTACGTAATTAAGATTAACATTGACATTTCACAATGGCAACAGATTATTTTGAAAGATTTCAGGTCTCATGTAGTAGCGGGAAATTTCGTATATTGTGTTGTACTTATTTAAACACTATGTATTCGTAAAAATATTTTGCTGTTTTCCGAGAACAATTCTAATTTTTCATTCTCACGACTATAATGTAAAGCACAAAATAGGCGTAATCACACATAAATATTACACACTATGCTAATCAAGCCGTCTCTTGTCAAGCTCATTGAAGCAATAAAGAACTTTAAAGAATAGGTCATACCCATGTTTAGTTCTTGTTAATTTATTTACATACACAAAACAAAGATAAGAGAGAAAAGAAAAAGAAGCATAAACAATGTCATTTGGACATAATTTACTGACCAAATATTTCAGAACTATTGAATTGATAATAGACTTCAGTATTTATTATGACTCACAACCAATCAAATAGTTATAATTAATTACGTCAATAAATTAAGTCAAAAATAGCATTATTTTGTTTTTTTTTATCAAAAAGATAGTAATTTCATTCAAGTAGGAAAATTTTTATTACAATCAGAAAAAAGCAAAACAGTAAACTCTAACAGGGGGACAGCTGACCCAATTAGCATTATTGAACCAGTATTAATACCCTCCTGTTGTTCAGGACTAATTAGTGGCTATTCTTTAGGACTTATTAGTGGCCTAGTGGGTATGTAACTAAAGACAAATTTGAAGGACAGCTATAAGAGTCAAAGCTTGAGATACCGAAATACCAAGAGTGAGTTTCCTCTTGTTAATCAAAATAATCAACTATTTTTGGATATCGAGTGCATATTATTCACACTGACTTAGGGGTTCACCTCCTCTACCATTAATAACCAGTCGGGTAGCTGGAATGAAAAGACTTCAATGATGTAGTACCTTAAGATTTGAAATTTGAATTCTCAATTTTTGTGTTGTTTGTGATTTTGTGAGTGGATTATATTTATATGGAGTTTGTGTATTAAATATGAGTGTTGGATCGATGTACTGACCACGACGTCAAAATAAATTGATTGGGAGTAAGATGACGACATCTATCTTTTCAACTATACAGCGGAAAACACATGGGTCAAACTGGTTAAACCTTCCCCCGAGTCTCAAGAAAACTTGCTGCACCTCTTCTTAGGTCGACAATCACCCCCCAACAACTACCTTGAAACTTGAACCCATAACCTCGCTCTGATACTAATTATTGGACTATACCAAAACTAACTGGTTGTGAGTAAAACGTAACTTCTATCTTT